AGGAAGAGCGGTGGCGGGGGGAGGGAAGGAGTGCGGTAGGGGAAGAGGCAGGTAGAAGGGGACGGACTCGTCGAACGTGACGTCCTGGGAGGACAGAACACGACGAGAGGAGGGGTGGTAGAACTGCCACCCTGGGGCGTCAGGGGGGAAGCCTAGGAAGACACAGGGAGCAGCACGAGGGGACAGCTTGTCCGCAGACAAGTCGCGGACAAACGCCCGAGATCCCCAGACACGGAACGCAGACGCATCGCCGACCTTCCCCGTCCACAGCAGAGCTGGGGAGGTCTCCGGCCGGGAGACCCTGGGGTGAAGGTTGAGCTGATGCGCCGCGTAGCGAACCGCAAACGGCCACAGAAAATGGGGGGCAGCCGCATGCATCATGGACGTACGAGCGACGTCCATGACCATGCCAATGCGGCGCTTAGCAATCCCATTTTGCTGTGGAGAGTCCGGAAGCGTGAAAGTCTGGCGGATGCCTCGTGCACGACAGTAGGCTCGCAGAAGGCCAGAGGAGAACTCTCCGCCTCGGTCAGAGTGCAGACGCAGAACAGGAAAGTCCGAGCCGAAGCTCCTCCTGAGCTGGAGACGAGCTGCGCGGATCCAGTCGATCAACACCTCAGTGACATCACCCTTGCTGCGCAAGGGGAAGACTGTGGTGTAACGCGAGTAGTCGTCAACCACCAGCAGGAAGTAGCGCTCGTGACCCTGTCCACGGACGCGGGCCGGGCCCCACACGTCCATGCGAAGCGTCTGCAGAGGAGCCTCTGTCGGGGGAAACTGGGAGGAGTGAGGGGCAGCCCGGAGCCGCCCCTCGACACAGGGGACACAGGAAGGTCCTGGCCCCAAAGGAAGGGGAGGGAGAGACCGGGGGAGACCAGAGACAAGGACACGGGAAGCCATGCCCCGAAGACGAGGCAAGGAGGGGTGGCCAAGACGGTGGTGCCACAAGAGAGTCTCGTGAGACAGGAGGCGACACGAGCAGGGGGCAGACTCAGGATCAGACCTAGGACGCAGCAGCAAACACCTGACCCGACGCAGCTACCTGGCCAGACGCAGGGACTAGAGGAGACTCAGTGGTCAGGGTGTAGAGACTCGACCCGGGCCGACGCGAAAACGTGGCTAGGTGTCGGCCTGTGCGGGCGTCCGAGCAGTGGGACACCCGCTGACTCGCAGGAGTAAACTGGTGAACCCCCGCATCCTGCAGGTCAGCACCACTCACCAAGTTCGTCGAGAACGAGGGGAGGTACAGACCCGACAGGGTGCCCGAGGGGGCAGCCGGACACGGGAGGACAGTAGAGAAGTGAGAGAGGACAGGACCCCCAGAGGGGTCAGCCAGGGAGACTGCAACCGGCCGACCAAGCGGCGTGAGTGTGGTGCGGTCTCGAAAGAAGGAGCGAGAAGCCCCTGAGTCAAGTGTGAAGGTGAGGGAGGCCGAAGCCGACGCAGTACTTGAGAGCGCAGCCTCACCAGTACCTGAGAGTGCAGACGCACTGGCACCTAGAGCAGTAGCCTCGCAAGCACCTAGCGCAGCAGTACCAATGCCCGGGTCGGGCGGAAAACACCGGTAACAGTCACCCTCATCACTAATAGTCACAGCATACATGGCAGCAAGGATAGCATCAAAGTCAAGATCAAAGATCGCTACGCCAGCCCTAGACAGCTCTCCCCAGCGGGGAATCTCACTAGCCTCGGGGAAATGCTGACGCCAAGCGTCCGTCAGGCGGCCAAAGCAGCGCTGGGTGGAGTGGGCACCCCCACACTGCTCACCCGCGCGGTCGCCGGAACGAAGAACGTAGGTGCACGGGCCAAGACCCCCACCACGCTGACGCTGCGTGTACCACTCACGGAGCTGCTGAGGATGGGGAAATGTCCCGAGAACGCTGCTGCTGGCGCTGACCACCACCAGAGCCGCTCCGCTGCGGGGCACTACCCCGACCGGCTCCACCTCCTCCGCCACCGCCGCCTCCACCTCCGCCACCACCGCCGCCTCCGCTCCCACCGCCGCCGCCGCCACCGCCGCCGCCTCCGCTGCCGCCACCACCACCACCACCCCCACCACCACTCCCACCGCCACCCCCACTCCCTCCACCACCGCCACTGCCACCTCCACCGCCCCCGCCAGCTCCACCCGCGCCCTTGCCCCCCTTGCCCTTGCCAGGGCGGCGTCTCCCGCTAGGGGCAGACGCCGCGCCGACCGACTCAAGACCAAGCACGTCGGCAGCAGCAGCAGAGGCAACAGAGGGCAGCAGGGGGGAAGGAGAACACCCCTCAAAGATGGGGGTGCGCGGGTCACCACGAGAGGCTCCTACAACGACTATGCTCTTCTCCGCCGCTAGGAGGGCCTTCTCGAGGAGGTCGACAGTGAGGGTGGTGGGACAGACTGAGAGGAAGTGGTCCCTGACTACGCGAAGGGAGTCAGGGAGGCGAGTGACTATGTAATAGAGAGCGATGTACATGGGGGGGGGGGGGGGGTTCCTGGCACAGAATTCAGCAGGAAGTGCGGCGCGGTAGCGAGTGTCAGAAGAGCGGAGGTGCGTGATGAAGGTCAGCGACTGTAGGAAAGGCAGCAAGGTCAGGAAAGAGGTACGGTAGCATGAGGCGGCTCAGTGCAGCAGTGGCAGGGGAAGAGTAGCGCGCAACTACAACGTCGTACAAGGTCTGAGCACTCTTGTACTGACTAAAGTGCGCGCGCTCAGTGGTAGGCAGGTGGCGACGCACAGCAAGACGTGCAGCAGCATCGCGGGTGGCCCACTGAGAGCGAACAGTGGGGTCAGCATCAGCAGCAGGAGCAGGGGAGGCGCCAGAGGTGAGGTCAAAGAGAGAAAGACCGTCCGCCCTATCGCACTGTAAAAACAGCTGCAGGTCGTCGACCCATACCTCAAAGTCAATGGCTCGACCCTCAGCGTCAAAAGCGAGGACACTAGGGGTAGCCATGACGACAGACTAGCAGTGCAAGCAGTGGGGGAAGGGCACGCAGTAGCAGTGGGGCTGTGCTCACCAGACAGGGCAGGTCGGGCGGCTCGGCAGTAGTGCGGCTCGGCTGCGGGGCGGCTCGGCGGTACTGCGGCTCGGCGGCCTGGCGGCTCGGCGGCTGCTGCTGGGCGGCTCGGCTGCACCGCGGCTCGGCGGCCCGGCGGCTCGGCGGCTGCTGCTGGGCGGCTCGGCTGGACTGCGGCTCGGCGGCCCGGCGGCTCGGCGGCTGCTGCTAGGCGGCTCGGTTGCTTCGGTACCGGGCGGCGTGGCGGGCGGCTGCTCGGGCGGCTCGGCAGGAGGGGAGACCGGCGGGGCCGCGAAGGTGTGGGCGGCGGGGCCGCGACGTGAGGGCGGCGGGGCCGCGTAGGAGAAGGCGGCGGGGCCGCGTAGGCACGGGCGGCGAGGCCGCGAAGGTGAGGGCGGCGGGGCCGCGTAGGTGAGGGCGGCGGGGCCGCGAAGGTGAGGGCGGCGAGGCCGCGAAGGTGAGGGCGGTGGGGCCGCGTAGGTGAGGGCGGCGAGGCCGCGGAGGTGAGGGCGGCGGCGCCGCGTAGGTGAGGGCGGCGGGGCCGTGACGTGAGGGCGGCGGGGCCGCGACGTAAGGGCGGCGGGGCCGCGTAGGTAAGGGCGGCGGGGCCGCGTAGGTAAGGGCGGCGGGGCCGCGTAGGTAAGGGCGGCGGGGCCGCGTAGGTAAGGGCGGGGGGGGCCGCGTAGGTGAGGCGGCGGGGCCTCGACGTGAGGGCGGCGGGGCCGCGATGTATGGGCGGCGGGGCCGCGACGTAAGGGCGGGGGGGGGGGGGGGGGGGGGGGGGGCGCGTAGGTGAGGCGGCGGGGCCGCGACGTGAGGGTGGCGGGGCCGCGACGTAAGGGCGGCGGGGCAGCGTAGGTAAGGGCGGCGGGGCCGCGTAGGTAAGGGCGGCGGGGCCGCGTAGGTAAGGGCGGCGTATCGGGCCGCTAGGGGCGACACGGAGGGTCGCTAAAAAAAAGGAACGCGCGCCTCGGGGCGCGCTTCGGTGGGCCCTAGGAACAGTCCCTAGGAGGGGACCTGCTCTGATTCCATGTGAAGAAGTGAACGCGAATGAATGAACTATGAATGAAGTGGGTACAAGTACTAACCCTAATTGGGTTGTACCCCCTATGGGATACCCCACTATAGCCTACACAAAAGCATAAGCTATAATGTTATGACATATCCTTGGTTATATCAGCAAATATTATGCTATTACCTATCCGCCATCCATACTTTTATTGCCAAAGTCACACAAACCAAACCCTTTCCCACAAGTGAGGCTGATTGCATTTTTACAATATACTTGTTGCAGGTATTTGTTCAGTTTGATGTCATTTGGATAAACGCTATGCCCTACAGTTGCCCAGTCACTCGTGTAGTATTGCGGTCGAATTGAATACGGTATTCCAAACTTGTTGAAGATACGGGACACGTACGCAGCAACTTGTGGCCTCAAAATCAATCCTAAACCACCATTGCAGCAGGAACAGCAGCAGCAAGAGACGCACCGCAATGCAACTGCTGCTGCTGGTGGTGTTGCTAGTGGCGGCGGCATCTCCTAAATTGCCTTGCCATGCAGACCAGCTCTTGCCACGCCACCTGACCCTGCTGCGGCATATGGGTCTCCCTAGAGTTTCTCAAAATACTCTGTATCAGCAAGATTCCAGCCTGACGTGTGAACAAGCGGAGCTTTGAGCACTGGCTCTCTGCTGAGGCCAACCCGTCCTGAGTTCCTGGTCTTGCATGCAATAGTGCGGCCAGCCGAGACAATTCAAACAATTTCCGAAGGGCACCTACACACAATGCACAATCAGACGTAAATTGTACTGCCACAATCATCCCCACAAATGTAACCTACGGTATTCTAATAGATATCATCAGGCATAGGCCATTCAGCAGTATTCCATACACTATGTACCATACACGTGTGTGAGTGAAGGCAGCCTTGCGGCATTTTTTCTCTATAAGCACCCTGCCATCGTGCGACTGATCTCATACCCAACCAACAGGTGGAAGCGACTCAGAGCATGAGCCGGCTGGGCGGGGGCATGTTGGGCAGGGAGGCAGTGGTGTTGGGGGAGAGCACATGCGGCGCCACCACCATGGACGGCCCCACTGACCCCACTCGTCTCACATGCACGGGAACCAGCCGACCGCCGCCATCCACCTGCGCTACCAGCTCCCACTGCTGACGTGTCATGACAACTGACTCACGCTCGCCCCCCTTCTTCCCACCCGCCTCTCCCCTCCTCTCCCTGCTGTCACTCCCATCCACCTTCTGCTTCTCTGTTCCCTCCTTCATCCCACCCTTCCCTGCTTCTGTCCTCGTTCCGTCCTCATTTGAAGCAGTCTCGTTATTGAGCGCCATAGACAGCATGGACTGGCCAACGCCCTCCACCCGCAATTCCACCTGTAGAGGAATGCGAACCACCCGGCCAGCAGAAGCACTGGCCTTTACCAACTGGAACACGCGGGGCAAACCGTCAGAGGCACCACCACCACCCTTCCCCCCCTTCCCCTTGCCCTGCTGCGCCAGCATCTCCCCCAGCGCGCCCTGCAGCGCCTCCCCCAGCGCCGTCAGCCGCCCATCAGATCGATTCACTGCTGGGAACGGCCATGGGCCGGGAGGGGCCGTGAGCGACGCCAGAGGTAGCGCCGCCGCGAGGGAAGAAAGGGCGCCGCCTCTTGCTGCTGCTTCTGACGTGGATCGCGGCCTCGCTGACGTCAGCTCCACTGCACCTGCTGCGATCCGTTTGACTCTGAGCTTGGCGGGCGCAAGAGCGGTCGCGGCACTAGTGGCTGCGGCGGTATTCCCAAGGTCGTCAGTTGCACCCGCCCCAGAAACCGCCTCCACCAGGTCGATGCTGGCGACGTCCCGAGCGGGGGGGAGCGGGGAGAGCGGCACGCTGGCGGCGACGATGGCGGAGGGGCGCACCACGCGGAGCGACACGAGCTCGCGCGGCAGGGGGGACGCGGACGAGGGCGCGCGGGACGGGGAGGACCAGGAAAGCGCGGCGGCTTTGAGCTTTTCCGCGAGGCCGAGGAGCGCGGAAGAGGCGGCGGAGGCGGAGAGGGATTGCGCGGAGAGAGAGGGGAGGGGGAGCTGCAGCGGGCGCGCCAAGGCGACTGCTTGCGCGCCGTGCACGGTGACGGCGGCGCCTGACGCGAGCACGACCTTCCTCACCTCGCCCGCATCCACGTCGTGCTGGCGGAGGGGGGAGATGGGGGAGGGGAGAGATGGGGGAGGGGAGAGATGGGGGAGGGGAGAGATGGGGGAGAGGAGAGATGGGGGAGGGGAGAGATGGGGGAGGGGAGAGATGGGGGAGGGGTGTGAGGAGCGGGGAGCGGTGAGAAGGGAGCAGGGTGCGCGGGGAGAGGGGAGCGGTGAGAAGCATCGTAAAAGGGCAAAGACAATGGGGAACAACGCGACATTCGGAAGACGGAAGGTAGAGGGGAAGGACTGGAGTGACCCACAACCTTGCAGCGCACTCACCGGCATGGCGAGGCGCACTTGCTCCGCGTCCTGCACCCACATCTCCATCGGCCCCTCCACCGTCACCGGCGGCAGCGACCCCGCCGCCGCTGACGTCAGCACCGACCCTGAAACTGATTGTAGCAGCGAGTCGCCTCGCAGCGCAAGAGAACCCCCGTCCGCAAAAGCATGTGCTCCTGATTTTCCTGCGTCTCCGTTTTTACTCTCCTCGGAAACACCGATTGCTTGCTTCTCTTCTGTTTGCCCCGTCGATTCGTCGATACTAGCAGCGTCGGGTGCGGCAAGAGGCGGCAAGTGGGGATGGAGGTACTCGGGGGGGCTTAGCTGCTCCGAAAGGGAAAAGGCTTTCCGCTGCGCGCCGAGCTGCACCTCAAAGTCGTACTGCAACACGCGCTGCCACGTGGCGTCCTCCAAATCCACTCTGCTGACACGAGTCATGGACGTCGGCCAACGGTTTTCGATGCTGACGTGACGGGTGAAGTCCTGCGAGGAGGAGAGAGGAGGGAGCGAAGTAGCAAAGCCTCAGGCGATTAGCAAGTTATAACTGAAACGACCCAACGACGAGCCCGCGGCTCGCAGCTTGTAAACGTCGACTCGTTATGGTGATAACATTACTGCACTGTCAGTCCCTCGTCTGTTCAGTCGTGCTAGACGCTTCCCAATGTTACTACCTTCAAAGCCTCTTGGATTGATGATCCAATAGTTGGAGACGGTTCTTGAGTGACGGATGCTGCTAGAGCGATGGACGCTGAGAAAACGCCTATTGTGGCGGCGAGAAACAAGAGACGCCGTCCGACTGACAGCGCTACTCTTACATCCATCGCCATGCTCTGCTGATTCAAGCGGTTTAGGAAGTTGCGTGTTCAACGCTACAACGTGCGGGCACAGCTAGAAAACCTTCTAACAAAACTGATTTCCGGTGAAGTCGGAAGTTTGTAGTGCGCCTGATAAAGAGTCGAGGAGACCGCACAACCTACGTTATAGCTCGAAATAGGCAGTAAGACGAAGTCACCTACGCTGGTACAGTATCGACTTTTATAAAGAACTAGGAGGCGTGGAGCTCATGGGATCAGTTCAGCAGTTACGCTGCAGCTGAGCTGAGCCGACGCGGCAACCCAAAGCAGAACCGATTTTCTCACAATTTCGCTTCATTCTCATTCCTCCCCATCCCAGTCAGGCTGGTCGTCCGCGGCTGGCGGTGAGGGTTCTGCATTCTGGAATGTTCGATCCTTGTGCGCTGGTGGTAGGGATTGCACGACGAATAGGGCACAAGGAATTCAGGCGAAGGTGCTGGAAGGCACTTGTGATTGGTCAGTCTGGGCTCGACATGCGGAACGCGACCGCGATGCTTCGATGCGACACGGATGTGTCAGGGGGAGTTACGGCTGCCAAAGGTCACCCATCGAACGTCTGTCATTCAAACAATTGTTGTTGACCTGGTTGATTGTTGAAGATCGACGGCTACGACGAGGACAGCACATAGCAGTAATACTGGTCAATGAGGATCGAGTATTCGTGTCATGGTTGCTTTCCCACGAATCAGCGGAAGGCTGCTGAACCCTGCCCCATCATTTTGCTTACGCACATAAAATATTAATGGGAAGGACCATATATAGAAGATAAATGATATACAAAGGACATGACACAAGCCAACACAGAAGCTAGCGCACACAGCAACAATAATTCTATACACTATGTACACAATCCACTAGGAACGAGATAGGTACCAGACAGCCTTGGTCGCTTGAACTTTAACCATTACGAGACGCTTATCGGAGCATGGCCAACTCCCCCAGCACCACGCTGTTGTGACCTCTCTTTGTAAGAACTAGTCTGGAGCTGAAAGGCCGATGGGCGGGACACATCAAAGAGCTGAAGCGTAGAAGGTGTCTTCCGGGGCAGAGAATCAGCCGCCTCTGGAGCAGAACTGAGACTGAGCACTGTGAAGGGCTTGGAAGAACCAGCAGGGTCTGAAGACACATCGATCCCTAACATCAGCCCCTCACAACCCCCCTTGAAGCCAGTCTCTACTTGCAGCCCGGCTTCCTTACGAGCCGTCTCCTTTGTTGAGACACCATTCCCTCTCTCCTTGACAGCAACAGGCACGTGGAGGGGCGATGTGGCCAGCATGGCTGTGGGGCGAAGCACTCGGCTTGCCCCCCCTGGACTGCTGGAATGGCCGCTAGAGAATGGAGGCTGCCAGCTGCACCCCAGGTTCAGCGGAGGAGGATAAGGAGGCCACATGTACATGAAGGATGGATCAGGGAAGCAGTGGTAGGTGGGTGGGTAGAATCCGTGAGGAGGAGAGAAAGGCGGAGGAAACTGCTTCACAGGCACTGCCTCTGCTTGCGCAGCAGCAGCTGCCAGTCCAGCCTCCTTCGATGCACCACCTTCTTCCTCCACCTTACTCTTATTGTGCCAACTACCAGGAGCCATGGCTTCAGATAACCTAGAGGCACCAGCGACAAACTTGGAAGGCAGGGGTTCTTTATGTACACTGACTTCCACCCCCGTGCCCCCCTCGTTCTCCACCTTAACCTTCTTCTCAGCGCCCTGTACATCCACATCAGCATCCGCATTAGCAGCAGCAACCGCGTGCGCGCGCTGCCTCCTCTCCTCCTCCATGCGCAGCAGCATCTCGTACCCCATCCTGTGCCTCGCCGCCGGGTCCATCATCATCTCCGCCGGATACATTGCATCTGGACGGACCGCGGGAGCAGCAGGATGCGGAGGCCAGGTGCGGCCTACCGTGGGGTAGCCACCCCACGGTTCAGTAACGCCAAATATGCGCCAGGGATGAATGACGTCAGCAGGTGGGAATAACACGTCCGCGGAAGTATGTACAGCGGGATTCGTAGGAGAGAGCGATGGGAGGGACATCGGACGGCTGAGAGAGCGCGAGAGGTGGGTGTCGCCGGCGCCAGGGACCACGGGGTAGGAGTGCGAGCGGTTGAGGTCCAGCAGAGACGCGTGCTGCGCGTAAGCAGGCGGCGGTGACGCCGTGACTGACGGTAGCGTGACTGACTGTAACGTGAATGACGGTGGCTTGACGGAGGCGAGATTGGACGGGATCTTGGGCGATGACGCGGACGAGGGGGGGTTATGCGCGTGAATGGGTGGATCGTGCGTGGGAGCGGCACGCGCGCTGCACTTGGCGTCTTCAGGCGCGAGGGGGAGGGTGGGCGTGCTCACGGAGCGAATCATATCCATCCTCTCCTCCAAAACCTGCGAGCCGAGCAACCGCGGGAACAAAAAAATCGGCAGCACGTCGGGGAAAGCGATGATTAGCGTGGAAGCCGATGACGGGAAAAACGGCAACAATAACGAAAGAGGACGGAACGGCGAGCGGCGAGGGGCGAGGGGAAAACGGGGAGAATCCGGGCGGCTTACCGAGTCGGTGTTGATGTCAAAGAGGCTGGAGCGGCGCTTGCGCTTGTTGAGGTTGTTCTGGCGGTTGAAGTACTTCTGCGCATGCGACGCCACCTGCGTGGGCGTGCGCGTCACCACGAAGCTCCGCGCGATGCCCCGCCAGTCGCCCTTCCCCAGCTTGCACAACCCCACCAGGAATAGCCGGTGCTCCTCCTCCGTCCACGGAATTCCTGCTCACAACCAAGGACAAACACTCTGTTCATCACCCATACAGTCCAGCCAAACTCAATTTACTCGACAAGCTACTGCTCAGCTCTTTTTTAAACGAAGCATGCAAACAGCGTACGACTGGCGGTGTGTGTAATGGTTGCACAACTTACCTTTCTTCCTTTCCTTAGCGTGGCTGGAACCACCGCATCCTGCCGCGCCTTTGCCGCCTCCGCCACCATTGCCCTCGGGACCCGTATCGGACGCATAGCCGTCACTCGCTGCTGGTGTCTGCGACACTACGTCTCCGCCTTCGGCGTTAAGAGGGCTAAGACGGTTCTTTGTGCCGCTGGGTCGCGCCTCCCATGTGCTGCCATTGTCACCGCTCTCCTCCATCCAAGAAACTCTCTTATCTGAAAAGAGAGCCCAATCCCTTTACTTATCTATCTGCAACCCGACGGGACTAAATTAGATCTGATATCGTCGGGGATCGTTGAGGATCTATGACTTTCTGACTTTCGAATGGACGACGAATTCACGTCAACCGTCACGAATGGGGAGCGCTGATGAATAAGAGTAGAAAACTTAGTTGCAAAACACCAAGCTAGCGTTCCGAAACGCGGTGCTACACCAATCGGCGTCGCACAAGTGGAGGCGGTCCAGAAGTCCGAGGTAGTTCACCTGCCGTTACCCACGTGATCTAGTTTTAGATGTTCGACGTTTCCAAGACGCCTCGACTCGTTGACTACAACGCACAGATGCTGCAAGCTCAATCCACAAAACTGGATCACGGTGACCTGCTGACTGCGTTAATCGGCGCGCAGAGCCACATGGCGACTTGCTGGCCGAGTATGGTCACAGCGATGCCAGGGGACAGGAAAGGGCAACGACGAAGCCGCAAGCAGAAGCAGCCGAAGGGAGGGAAGCTCGATGAGCGGAGGAGATGGGTCTGTGGGGAGGGGAGGAGGTGAGGAGGTGACGGAGCGATACAGGCCCGTCGTCCTGGGCGCAGTGGGCGCAGCGCCCGTCGTCAATTCGAAGGCGGGGCAGATTCTCAACTGCCATTCGAAGCATTCTTCTCGTCTGCCCTGCCCTGCCCCGGTGCCTGCAGTCTGCCTTGTTTGTCTGGTTTTGGTTGGTTGAACTTGAGAGACTCGCAATTGCATGCAGCACACCTTGGGTTTCTGAACGGTAGCTCGGTCTGGGGAAGGGCAGAATCTTTGGCGAGGTACAGCACAGTGGCAAGAGGTGTCACACGCCTCGCTGACATAGACATTCTGTGATTTGGCGGGCAGGCTACTTTTCCTGGATCAGTGGACTTCGGCGAAACGATTGGTGTTATCGGGTAAGAAAAATCTCGTGCGCTGGCGAGATCGCCAGATTCAGTGTTCTGGTTCGCTGGAAGAGTCGCGAGGTTCCAGCCAAATAAAATTCTCCAAGCATCCAGGAACCAAACAGAACTCCTGACTTCCATGACTTCGGGCGGGCGACGTGTTGCAAAGCCGTTCCGCATTGGGGCGACTTCGCTAGAAGAAACATTGCGGCAGAAAGTTTGACAGTGAAACCTTGCAGCAATGATAAGTGTTCAATTGTAGCTTTTGCTGAAAAGCTACATTGAGAATCGGTTTTACACTCAGTTCTATGACTGAGCAACTAAGTATCCTTCCACTGTACACATCCCCTCCACTCCACCTCCCCTCACCCCTTCAGCAGACCACTGACAAGTGCTAATGCCACTGGGTGATACCCGGCTTTGGCCGCTTCAAACACCCTTTCAGCCACGTCCTTGGCACCGCCCTTTATCAGCGCAGTGTAGAGCGGGCGCAGGTACTTCATGCGGCCCACAGACATGAGGGTTGCCTCCACCTCGGGATGGAACTGCGTTGCTCCTGACTGCACTGCCACTGTGAGGAAACCCACGCTTATCTCCGCGTTCTTGCTCTGATGGAAGGGCATGAGGTGGGAGTGGTGGTGTGGGATTGGAGAGTTTGCTAACATGAGGAAAAACGTTACAACTTTGGATAAATGTGCAGAAGAGAACTGAGGGATAAAAAAAGCATTGCACAGCAGTCAGGGCAACGAAAGAGACCATTCAGGAGAAGGAGAGGCAGGAGAGAAGGGTTAGAGAAAGACAGACGGGGAAGTGTGTAGAGGCATATGCATGTACCTTTGAAAATCCGAACTCTTCGTCCAATCGCACGAGCGTTTCAACGGGCAGAGTTCTGGGCAGACCGGCAAGAAAGATCTGCCACTCATCAGGACCCCAGTCACTCGCATCCGCCCGCCCAAACTTTGAGTGCGGATCCTCAACAAACCCACTTGCCGCCTGCTGCACAGCCGCCAGCTTGGCAGACTGAGGCACGATGCTCTCCGCCTCGGCCGGCATTCCTTGTCCTCTCACCCACTCCTCCACGTCCACCCAGCTCTCGCCGCCCTTCTCCATCACCTGAGGCAACTCTGCTTGCAAAAACTCGAGAAACGTGGCCGTGGTAATAGACTGGAAAGCAAACTTGCTGATGTATTTGGTGATAAACGCGTCAAACGCCGGCCGCCCCACGGCTTTCTCAAGACGTGTGAGGAAGAAAAACCCCTTCTCGTACGGAACCTCGGAAAACACCTCGTCTGGATCGATCTCATCCAGGCCGTCCGTGCCCAGATCCAGCTGCGTGAATCGACGGCTGGATGAGCCCGTTTCAGAGGTGAAGCGCGAGAGCCCCTTTTGCAGGTCCAACCAGCCCATAGCCGCATCTATCTTCGCCTTCTCCTCCCCCTCTGTTGCTTCCAGAATCCTCCGCTCCGCATACACCGTCCACCCCTCGTTCAGCCAGAAGGAGGAGTAATCCGCGTTGGTAACCAGGTTACCAGTCCAGCTGTGTGCCAGCTCGTGCGCAACCACGCTGGCCAATGAGCGGTCGCCAGCTAGCAGTGTGGGCGTGAGGAAGGTGCAGCGAGGGTTCTCCATGCCACCGTAGGGGAAGGCGGGTGGCATGAGCAGCAGGTTGAAGTCCCCCCAGCCATACGGGCCGAACAGGGCCTCTGCTGCCTTGATCTTGTCCTCTGTTTCACTGAACTCGTACGCTGCTGCCTCCACCTGTGATGGCTCTGTAGGAGGGGATAAGGATGGTGAGTGCAACAAGGTACGAAGGGGGTTAGAGAGGGACCACCCGTACGGGCCGAACGGGGCCTCTGCTGCCTTGAAATTATCCTCTGTTTCACTGAACTCGTATGCTGCTGCCTCCACCTGTGATGGCGCTGTAGGAGGGAGAAACGTGTACGGATGGGGATGGGGAGGCAGGGGCGGGGGTGGAAGGAGTGTTGGGAAAGGGGGAGGCGGTGGAGGGAGAGTGGAGAGAGAGGGAAAGTTGGTCTCACCATGACTGCTGCTGGCTGTCAGGTGCTGCTTTAAAACAATGATATTGATCATCACGACCATCACGATCAATATCGTCTTACCGGCATAGACCTTCACGCGTGGGCTGAGCGTCTTGGAGGCGATGTCACCGACGGCAAGAGCAAAGAGGTACGGCGGGATGGGCTGCTCCATCTCAAACACCTCCTCCACACGGGCGGCGTTCGCCGTCTGCTCTGTGGCCACGTGCTGCGCACTCATGACCGCGTGGAGGCCTGCTGGTATGTTCACTCGCGCTGCGGAGGATGTTCACACGTGGAGGGGAGACGGTGGAAAGGAGGGCGAGGTAAGCATGGGGAAGCGGACGAAGGGAAAGCGCGGGGAAGGGGTGAATGGCAGGGAACAACGGACTGACTGACATGGCAACAGCGTTCAACAGGACGGCACGGGCAAAGGGAAGGCATGGATGGGATAAAGCATGAACTGAATCTGATCGCTCAAAGCACTCGCAAGTGGAAGAGGTGACTGCGGTAAGATGACTTGTGACGCGTCTAACACTCAGGGAATTTATGCAAGAGCAGCCTGTGAGTCAGAACACTTAGAGGCTTGGCAGGAGAAGGGGCTGACCGCGGTACTTGATGCGTGCTTGCGGTGTGTCCTGGCAGGGGAAGACGGAGCGCGCATGGATGGCCTGGCACTGCGTGAACACGTACGGGTGCTGCCCTCCTGCCGTCTGCGCCGGTGTGAGCCACTGCAGCGCTGAGGCACTGGCACCCGTGTGGTAGCCTGCAGATGGGGAAAATTGGAGGAACGCACAGGGGAGGAAGGAGAAGCAGGAGCGGGAGGAGGAAAAGCGTGGTGATGGGTAGAGGGACGAGGACGTTTGGACGAGTGACGGATTCTACAAGGCGCGCAGGGAAGAAAGAAAGGGGGTGAAGAGGTGAGGGAAGACGGATGGGGGAGCGGGGGTGGGGTGAGTGCTAGGAAGTGGTTAAAACAAGTGCAGAGAGGCTGGCAAGGTGCAGTAGGGCATGATGGTGATACTCGCATGTATGCGGTGACAGGGATGGTGCTATGTGCACGATGACATGCAATTGGACACTCACGAATGGTGACTTCATTGGAGTGCAAGGAGAGCTCGAGCAGCGATCCGCGCACGTGATGCGGAGGATGCAGCTGGAACGGCACTGCAGGACGCCATGCCATGCCACATGCCATGCCATGCCACATGATGACACCACGCCATATGGTGAATACATGCCGTGATGATACCACGCCGTGTGGTGATGACATGCCATCATGGGGACATGCGATATGGTGACGGAAGGTCATGATGCCGCAAGTCTTCGAATGGCGGAAACCGAAACGCCACGTCCTACGAGGGAGGAGGGGAGGAGGGAAGGAGGGGAGGAGGGGAGGAGGGGAGGAGCGGGATGGCTGCAAAAACGAACCAAGCGCGCCGACGTGAGAAGGGGGAGTGAGAGCGAGGAAGATAGAGCGAAAGCAGCAGACGAACCGAGTCACTATCGGACGCGAGCCGACGGAGGAAAGGCACACGAGAATCCCATGTCATGACAGCGGCAGCACCAGCAGAGACACGGAAACTGCTCCAACGCGAGAATCTCGCACGGGAACCTCACCGTCGTTGCCGGCAGCGTCGGTGGCGCCGAGAATGGTCAGATCCCGCGAGTCCAGGCTGAGCGTCCCCGTGGCCTGCAGCCAGTCGGCCGGAGACCACGGACGGAGGGGAAACCAATCATAAGAAAACGGGAATCAGAACCATTGGAAATGGGAAATCTAGAAACTAGAGATTACTACGGATTCCGGAGGACGATCTGCGAGGCACAGTATGGAGCTAGCCCGTGAGGCTTACGGGTTTGTCTAGCACTAATCGAGCCGTTCCTGAGATCTGCTTGTTGTCGAAGTCGACGGTCAGATTGAAGTCGACGAACGTGGTGAGCGGCTCGCCAGCCTGCGTGTTGGAGTGCGGGTCGATGGGCGCCATGGGGAGCAGACAGAGCAGCGAAACGACGCAGAGAAAGGCGGCATAAGGCGGACAGTGCAGCATGAGAAGGGAAATTGGAATCTGGGATTTGAATGTTGCTCGAATGGGGAAATGACTAAGGATTGAGCATTGAGACCTGCATTGGAGATGTCCTACAGTTTTTCCACATACGGTAAGCAACAAACTGCATTGTGAGTTTGTCTTGCATACAAACAGTTTTTTATAACTGGAGCTTACAACAACGTGTACGGTGGCGAACAGCTGGGATTTGGCGGTTGCCTCATCCGAGCACGTGTTGCGTGTTCGTTGGGGAAGGTCGACCTTGGGTGTATCGTGCTTATAATGCGGGCCACGGGGACTGATCTATCAGGTGACACACACGACTCCTAACGACAGCCTCAGAAAGGGTTACCGTTTTTCCCCAGCCGTAAAGTGCTCGCAATGCTATCGCAATAGCCTGACGTGTCTGGCAATATGGCCCTAGGCTGCTGACTCCATCTTCAGGCAAGGCTTAGGCCTGTGCCAGCGGCATGCCCAAGGCGAGGCATCAATGCACACAGCACACCTTTCTTCTTCCATGCATTTCACCACCACACCTCCCGTCACAACCACAGCTTCCTCTCTTGTTGCCTCGCCTCAACACCAGCACCACACACGGCACACCTCACGCTCACCTCCCTCCGTCCTTTCTTTTCCGCTTCGCCATGACTCGTGCGCCCCACCAGCAGGACCCGCCGACTTGCCCACAGTGTGCTTCCGCGTGTCCCCCCATTCCTGCGCTCCTCGGAACCGGATTTGTTGATTCGATCGCCTGATCCGCACCCCCAGTCGTACCCACCTCCCCCTATCCGTTCAGTCCACTTCACCTGCTCGTACTTGTCGCAGTGTGCTTCGATGAACCAACATCGAGGTAGTGAGCAGCGCGCGCACACATGCTATCCACCCGTTTCGCTCGTTGACCCTCGCCAGCGCTGCATTTGAAGTCAAATCGCATCCCGATAGGCACACGAATGCACGCCCGACTGTGCGGGAAGGTCATTTCGACAGCAATCTCACCAGCAACCATCAGGATGCACGTGCGTCCTCTTCCTTCCCCTCAGAGCAATTGTGGGTGTTGCTCTTGACTCGTCCGTGCATATCGTCAGTAGTTGTTCGTTTCTTCCCAACTCGCTTGTTTTCGCGTTTAATCCAGTGTCGCTGTACAGTAGATCGTAAAAAACTTAACTTGTGCTCCTGTTCTTGCTGCTGTGTTCTATCGTCATTTCCCCTCACGTACAATAATCAGCAAGCGATCGAGACATGGGCGGCGCGGCAGTAGTCGAGCCGGCTCGGCGGGTCCCATCGCTGGGAAACAGACATAAGCGCAAGGCACGCGCTGCAGCGGCGGGTGATTATAGACCGAATCCAGACAAATCAGTAAGCGAGAGCGAGGAGAGGGAGGTTGTCATTTTACCAGCGTCGTTCAGCCGCGATCTCGCTCATCCTCCTCTTCTACCCACACCAGAGGTCGTGGTTTCGATTTCCTTCGACTCCACTGTAGCCCCAGGAAACGTCGGTATGGCGGAAGGCGCGGGCGGAAGCGCTGGTGGGTCTAGGCTGATGTACGGAGTAGTAGGGGGGGAGATGGTGTCGGCGGAAGAGGGTGCGGGCGGGGGGAGCGCGCAGTGGGGCGCAGGGGGAGGAGACGATGCGGAGGGGGGCGAAGGGGGAGAGCATGAGAGCAGGGCGGCTAAGAAGCTGCAGAAGGCGGATAGAGAGAAGATGCGGCGGGATCGACTCAACGACCAATTCATGGAACTCGCGAGTGTCCTCGGTAATATAATGCTCTCTTAACGCGTCCCACTCATGTCAGTAATTCACAGGTCACGGGCTCTCGTACCCTCCCTTTAATTCTGACGAAGTGACTCTCATGAGTTTATCTCGCCTTTCTCCTGTCGTCCATCTGCAGATCCTGACCGTCCGAAGAACGATAAGGCAACGATTCTGACCGACGGGCTGACGATGCTTCGCGAGCTGCGTGCGAACGTGAACCGACTGCGCGCCGAGCACAGCGCGCTCGTGGACGAGTCGAAAGAGGTGAGGCGAGGAGGGGCGAGGCGAGACGGAGGAAGTGGCAGGATGAACTTGCCTGGCGAGCGGTCAGATATGGTCGCTCCTTTTTATTCCTTCCGTGGGCTGCTCCTGTCCTGTCGTCGTGCGCGTGCACCCCACCTTCTCCCGTCACTCCCCTCACTCTCCCTTTTCGCGTGCATCGTTCTCCTGTGCTGTTTTTCTCCGCAGCTGGCGACGGAGAAGTCGGAGCTGCGGCAGGAGAAGGGCGCGCTGAAGGGCGAGGTGGACGCGCTCAAGGGGCAGCTGCACCACCGCATGTCCGCGCTCCTGCCCTGGGCCACTGCGCCCCCCGCCGCCTCTGCGCCCCCCGCCGCCGCTGCGCCCCCTTCCGCCACTGCGCCCCCCGCTACCCCCGCCGCCCCTGTTTCCACCGCTTCCCCTGCGCCGCCTCCAGCCGCCCGTGTTCCTGCTGCTGCTCCTCCGATTCCTGCTCGAGCGGCTGCTGGTGCTGCTGGTGGGGGTGGGTTGCAGACGCCAACGCAGGCGCCAGTACACGGACACGTTCAGGCATCAAGACACCTGTCAGGCTACGCTCCTGCCGCCCAGCCCTCCCGCCCTCCTCTTGCTGTCCTCGCGCCCGCTTCCGCTCCACCCGCCGCTCCTGCAGCTTCCCCACCCCCCGCCGTTCCCGATGCTGCTTCCGCGCCTTCCATGCAATTCCAACCTCAGTTTCGGCCTCAGATGCTGACGTCACCACTGCACGTGCAGCAAGGGATGCAAGCGATGAGCCAACCTGGCATGCTGACGTCAGCCATGAGCCAGCCTGGAATGGTTCAGCCTGCCATGCACATGCCACCTTCACCACATCACCCCGCATCCATGCCCATGCCCATGCCCATGCCGTTACGCATGCCTACTGCCAACGCTGCACCCATGCCCATTCCCCAGCCCCACGCGCCCATGGCGCAGACCCTTGCGCCGATACCACAGTCCCATGCGCCCATGGCGCAGGCGCAGATGTGTATGAGAGGCGCGGACAGCGCAGTGGGCATGGGGGAAGCGGGGGGCATGGGGGGAATGGGGGGAAGCAGATCGGAGCAGGCAATGAGCCCCCCCGTGTCCGTGCTCTCCTCCTCCGCGCCCACTCCGCGCACCTCCTCCGCAGCCGCGTCGTCAGCAGCAGCGGGGGGGGAGAGCCGCGTTGGGGAAGAGCCACGGGAGAGCAGCGATGGCGTGGGGCAGACAGGCAGGCAGCAGCAGCAGGGAGGGCAGCAGGGAGGGCAGCAGGGAGGGCAGCAGGGAGGGCAGCAGGGAGGGCAGCAGGGAGGGCAGCAGGGGGGGCAGAAGGGCGGGCAGGATGGGGATGCTGCGGCGGGTGGGAGCTCCCTGGTGAACATGAGCCGTGGAGGGGGTGAGGCTGCTGTCGTTGTGGTGAAGCAAGAGGAGGGTGATGCCAACGCTGCTGACAGCAGGGCCTCACAGCCGCAGCAACAGCAACAACAACAGTCACAGCAGCTGCCACCGCAGCAACAACCACAGCAGCAGCAGCAGCAGCAACAACAACAACAACAGCAACAGCAGCAGCAGCAGCCACATCAACAGCAGCAGCAACAGCAGCAGCAGCAGGTGCAGCAGCAAGCAGCGTCACAAGAAGCACTTACCCGGCCGCCAGCAGCACAGCCCTTACAGCCGCCAGCCACTCTCCCTACCCCACCCCACCCCCTGCCTCCACACTCCTTCCCCCCCCAAGCCTGGCCGCCTGGAGCCTTTCCCATGCCTGTTCCCATGCCCTTCCAGGCCTCCATGCCAGGCTCGGTGCCCCCTGCACCTGCAGGCATGCAGGGCTGGATTGCCGTGCCTGCTGGCGCGTTCCCGTACGCCTTCCCTCCTACTGCCCCGCCCTCACTCCCGCTTGGTAATGATGGCAAGAGCACCGGAAGCTCTGTGCAGCAGCAGCAGCCGCAGCAGCAGATGATGGTGGCAGCTTATCTGCCAGGTCAGCTTCCATTCCAGGTCAGCGCCAGCTCAGCAGGTCAAAGTCAAGGGGAGCAGCAGGGCAAGGGGCAAGCGGGGCAGGAAGGGCAGGGCGGGGCACAGCAAGTAGCGCAGGGACAGCAGGCAGCACATGCGCAGCAAGCGGGGCAGGTGCAGCAGATGATGCAGATGCAGCAGTACATGGCGCAGGCGCACGCACAGGCGCAGGCGCAGGCACAGGCGCAGGCGCAGGCGCAGCAAGCAGCGCAGGCCCATCAGATGGGTCAGGCAGGTCAAATGAACCAGGTGCCCCAGATGGCTCACATGCAGCCATTCATGGGCGCTCCTGGGGTGGCCATGGCGCTCCCCCCGCCTCCCCCTGGGCAGATGTACGTCACTGCTCCCTTCCTTGTCCCCGCCCCCACTCCCCCGCAGCAGCAGCAGCAGCAGCAGCAGCAACAGCAACAGGGGCAGCAGCAGCAACAGGTGCAACAGGTTCAGCAGCAGCAGCAGCAAACCATGCCCCCAGCATCCTCATCAGGTACGGTGGTGAGTGGTAACAGGTCGGAAGGCAGTGGTGGTGGTGCTGCTGGGGGCGCTGCCGTTACTCCTGCAACTCCACCGTCATATAGCCAGCACTTCACCATGCTACCGCCCCACGCTGCTGGTTCTGCTGGTGCTGCTGGTGCTACTGGTGGTCCTGGTGGTGGTGCTGCTGCTGGTGGTATGCCGCTTCCCCACATGGCCTACAGCAGTGGTGGGTTCTACATGCCTGTGAGTGCCCCGGGGCAGGCTGGCACTGCTGGCAGTCAACAGGTAGCAGCTCCTATGCCCTCCCAGCAGCATTTTATGCAACACATGCAACAGCATCAGCAGATGCAGCAACAGCAACAGCAACAACAGCAGCAGCAACAACAACAACAGCAGGCGCAGCAACAGCAACAACAGCAGCAGCAACAACAACAACAGCACCTGCAGCAGCAACAGCAACAACAGCAACAGCAGCAACAGCAGCAACAGCAGCAACAGCAACAGCAACAGCAACAGCAACAGCAGCAGCAACAGGCTTCAGTGGCAGTATCATCCACTGCCCCCATAACGTCCTTCCATCCCTTCCCTTCATATGGTGCTGTTCCCCCTCTCTACCTACCCACGCCGCTACAGCCACAGCAGCTACAGCCACAACCACTGCAGCCACAGCCACCACAGCCCCAGCAGCAACTGCAATCCCAGCCGCAGCAGCTGCCGCAGCTTCAGCAGCATCAGCAGCGGGCGGTGCAGCACATACCCCAAGCCCAACAAGGAGCAAATACACAAATACCCCCGGGCCAATACAGCCACTTGCAGCAACTGCCCGGGCAGGGCAGCAGTGCAGGGGGCGGAGGGGTGGCTGGAGAGAGAGGGAGTGGGGGAGGGGGAGGGGGAGGGGGAGGGGGAAGCGCAGCAGCGGGGGAGAGTGCAGGAGGAGCGGGGAGTGCAGCAGGGGCTGGCAGTATGCCCCACTGGCTGTGGGCGGCAAGCCACAGACCAGCTTGACTTGTTGCCAAACAGCTGCTTATATCTGGAAGATTACGGTAGTACTACCGCGCGCGCACAATGAAATGGGAAGCCTGTATCCTGGAACTTACGGTAGTTAGTCGCCTTTGGAGGCGCCTCAAAAGCCGTCTACCGCGCACAACAAACAAAATGGGAAGCCTGTTTCCTGGAACTTACTGGTACAGTAGTCCTACTATAGCCTGGAAATGCATTCTCATGCGTTGGATGTCAGTGATGGTGAATTCTTTCAAGCATGTGGTGCGATTTGATGCATTGCGATGGGATGTAGGGTGGTTCTAATGGTGCAGACCAGTGTATGACATGACAAGAGAAGCACATGTGGGTGATCTAGAGGAATGAGCAGAGTTCAGGTTGCATCAGGGAAGGCTGGTGTTATGGCATGCAGCAAGTGCTGACCAGGGCTCTCGTTAGCGGACTAAATTAGTCTGTTGGTCTAGGTTTCAGGCACAAAATGTATAGTTCATATGTTGCGGCAGACTTTGCCTTTAGGGCCATATGAGAGCCCAGACAAATGCTTTATGAACATATGTTTTTTCAGAAGAGTTATAGCAAGGGAGCTGATTGAGTAGAAATCTGTCAAATGTTGTAGCCTGTAGTGAGGTTTGTCTTAGGGGGTACAGAAGTTAGGGTTTGTCATATGTACCCCAACCAACATCAATGCAACACTCATTCCTCATTTTGACATGGTATCAGCTAGGTTAGGATCCTGTGGGATCCCGTTCCTCCGTTCTCCGTTCGTACCTCCCGAGCCTGATCCTACCTCTCTTTCGTACCAGTTTCGTAGTTACCGCGCCTAGTACCGAGCCTAGCGTCATCTCCAGCGACCGCACCAGCAGCCCCCCCTACTGCCACTGCCCCCGGTTCCCCCCCCCGTTCGGGTCCCCGCGTCTCACCAGGTTGCTACGTCCCCCCAGGTGTCTGTGTCGTGTCAGGTTCCTACGTCTGTTCCAGTCGCTGCGTCGTGCTCCTGCCGGTCGCTTGCCCACCCCACCGTTCTGTGGCACCACCGGATGGGGCACCCGTCCCTTCCACGTCTGCGCGCTATGTCTAGTCAGCGTCTTGTCCTAGGCCTCCCACGTGTCTTGCCGTCGCTGCCGCCTTCGCCTGCGCCGCCGTGTCGTCCCTGCGTCGAGGGTAGGCTGCGCGCCACCCCTCACTCCTCCTCCCTTCGTCCGGCCACCGAGCCTTTTGAGACGCTTCACTTGGACGTCTGGGGCCCGGCCCCTCGTCTAGGCCCTGAGCGTGAGCGTTACTTTCTGGTGGTCGTTGACGACTTCTCCCGCTACACCACAGTGTTCCCTCTGGCGAAGAAGTCTGAGGTGACTTCTACGCTGATCAGGTGGTTGCTCACCACCGGGGACACTCGTGGTCGTCGTGTCAGCTGTCTCCACTCCGACCGTGGGGGTGAGTTTCGCTCCGGCATTCTCGCTGGATTCTGTCGCGAGCAGGGCATTCGTCAGTCCTGGACGCTTCCAGAGTCCCCACAGCAGAATGGGGTTGCTGAGCGCCGCATAGGCCTGGTCATGGAGATCGCCCGCACCTCCCTGACTCACGCCTGTGCCCCCCATTTTCTGTGGCCCTACGCGGTCAGGTACGCCGCGCACCAGCTGAACCTCTGGCCACGTGTCTCTCGACCAGAGGTTTCACCGACCACTCTTTGGACAGGGTCCCCTGGTGTTGCGTCGCGGTTTCGTGTCTGGGGGTGCTTGGCTCTTGTCCGCGACACCTCCGCGGACAAGCTCTCGCCTCGTGCCGTCCCCTGTGTCTTCCTTGGTTTCCCTGAGGACTCCTCTGACTTCACCTTTTACCACCCTCCCTCTCACCGGTTCTTTGACTCCCGTGACGTTCGTTTCGAGGAGTCCACTCCGTACTACGTCAGGTACCCCAGTCGAGGTCTCCCGGTTCCTCCCCCCCCTCTCTTCCTGACTGCCGTTCCCCCTCCTGCTCCCCCGGTACAGCCTCCCCCCCCTGGTCCAGCCCCGTCAGGTGTGTCCCAGGCTACCCCTCCTCCTTCGGTAGCCCCTCCGGTACAGCCTCCCTCCCCACAGTCCTCCTCGCAGCGTGCCGCTGGTGCTAGCTCTCGAGAGGTTGGTACGGCGCCTGTTCCTGTACCGGTTTCTGGTTCTGGGGGTGCTGGAGTTGGAGCTGGAGTTGGAGCTGGAGTTGGCACTGGAGTTTCTGTATCTGGGGGTGCTGGAGTTGGAGCTGGGGTTGGAGCTGGAGTTTCTGGTTCTGGAGTTGGAGCTGACCCGGTGGGTGCAGAGGACTCTTGTCGTCCGGGAGCTGGTGCTGGCCGCGCGGACACTGGGGGTGCTGCGTCTGGGGGTGAGGGTGCGCCTCCTTCGGGTTTAGGTGAGCCAGGTTCTGGAGCTGGTGTTAGTGCTGCCTCTGGGGGTGGTGCGCCTAGTTCTTCTGGGGTGGACTCTGGAGCTGCCGCTGCTTCGGACACTACTCCACCCCCCCACCCCTACCCGACTAGGCACCAGGCTCGTGTTCGCCGTGCCCGTGACGAGCAGCTGGCGTTGGAGAGAGAGGAGAGGGAGTTACAGCGGCTGGAGGAGCAGCAACAGCAGCTGGAGCCGCAGGAGCAGCAGCAGCAGCAGCAGCAGCTGGACCCGCAGGAGCAGCAGTCCCAGCAGCAGCCGCGTCCGCAGCAGCAGCAGTCGCAGCCGCAGCAGCAGCAGCCACTTCCTCCTCCTGTCTCGGGTCTTCGGATCCTTGGTCTCCCCTCCCCTTCTCCTCCCTCCTCCGCCTCTCCTCCTGTCTACGGTCCCACGTTTCCTCCTCCTGACTCCTCCCCCGCTGTTTTCCCCAGTTCTCCGCCCTTGTCCTCTTCTCCTCCGTCTCGTTCTTGGGCTACTCGTCGCTCCCCTCGTGCTCGTCCCTCGTCTCCTGTTCCCTTCACTGACCTTCGTACTGCCTTCCTTCTTTCTAGTCCACCTCGTCCGTCTCAGTCTGTGCTTCCGTCTCCTCCTGAGTCGGCCCTCACTGTGTCGCTCCCTACTCCTGTCACTGACTACTACCGCACGTACCGTCCTGTTCTCTCTCGTGTTCTCGCCTCTCTTGTTACTCACCCTCGTGCCTCTGTGTCCTCTGTGTCCGCTCTTACTGCCGCAGTTACTGACTTTGCCTCTACCCGCCGCCTTGACTACGCCACCACGCTTGTGGCTGCTCCTCCTACCAGTCCTCTGGTCGTCGGGGGTGTGTCTGCCCTTGGCCGTGACGCCCTAGAGGACAGGCAGTTTGAGCTAGAGTTCCTGGCGGCCGCTTCCCCTCATCTCTGTGCCATGCTCCTCGCCCCTGAGGGTGACCCCGACGCCCTTGACATTCCGACTCCTCGCACTTACGCTGAGGCAGTGTCAGGGCCTTGGGCCTCTCAGTGGAGAGCTGCCATGGACGCAGAGATGGCCTCCTACAGATCCACAGGCACCTACGTCGATGAGGTTCCCCCCCCTGGGGCGAACGTAGTCGACGGCATGTGGATCTACAGGGTGAAGCGGCCACCGAGATCTCCCCCGGTCTTCAAGGCGCGCTACGTGGCTAGAGGTTTCAGTCAGCGCGAGGGAGTTGACTTCTTTCAGACCTTCGCACCTACCCCGAAGATGACCACTCTTCGGGTGTTACTACACGTAGCAGCACAGAGAGACTACGAGTTACACTCTCTTGACTTCTCCACTGCTTTCCTTCAGGGCAGCCTACACGAGGAGGTCTGGTTGCGTCGTCCCTCGGCCTTCACTGGCACCTTCCCTCCTGGGACCCAGTGGAGGCTGAGGCGACCTGTTTACGGTCTTCGCCAGGCCCCTCGTGAGTGGCACGACACTCTGCGTTCTACCCTCTCTGACCTTGGGTTCCAGCCGTCTTCTGCCGACCCGTCGCTGTTCGTTCGTCGTGGCTCCACACCGTTCTTTGTTCTGGTTTACGTCGACGACCTCGTTTTCGCCACTCCGGACAGGGTTGCTTTGGCAGACGTGAAGTCCGAACTGCAGAAGAGACACACGTGCACTGATCTTGGTGAGCTGCGCCACTACCTTGGCCTGCAGATCACCAGGGACAGAGCCGCTCGCACCATTACACTCTCACAGTCACACATGGTGCAGCAGGTCCTTCAGCGGTTCGGGCTTCAGCACTCCACCGTACAGCGCACACCTCTAGCTGTTGACCACAGACTCACTGGTCCCTTTCCTGACGAGCCGTTTGAGCCTAGTGGTCCCTACGCAGAGCTTGTGGGTTGCCTCATGTACCTGATGACTTGTACTCGCCCGGACCTCGCCTTCCCTCTCAGCATCCTTGCGCGCTTTGTTGCGCCAGGGAGACACCGTCCTGTTCACTGGACGGCAGCTGTGAGGGTGGCGAAGTACCTAGCGACTACATCAGGCGTGGGGCTAGTTCTTGGAGGGCAGCAGTCTGTCGTACTCACTGGTCACTGTGACTCCTCTTACGCTGACGACGCTGAGACTCACAGGTCTACTCAGGGGTACTGTTTCAGTCTGGGTTCTAGAGCTGTTTCCTGGCGTTCCACGCGCTCCTCTTCTGTCTCGACCTCTACAGCTGAGGCTGAGATTTACGCTGGTGCCATGGCGGCACAGGAGTTGCGGTGGTTGACCTTCTTGCTCACTGACCTTGGTGAGCGGCCGAGCTCTGCACCGACCTTGTTTACTGACAACAAGGCGTCGATCCTCCTCTGTCGTGAGCCGCGACTGGAGAGCAGAGTGAAGCACATTCACGTCAGGTACTTTCTTCTGCGAGAGTTGCAGAGGCGTGGACAGGCTCGCTTCGAGTTCGTAGAGTCCGAGGCCAACACTGCAGACATCTTCACCAAGGCGCTTCCGCCTTGTGACCACCAGAGGTGTTGTGTGCAGTTAGGCCTTGTTGACACAGGTTCTAGTCATGCGTAGACTTGAGTTTATTGCCTGCTTCGTCTGTACATTTACTATATATACTTGTGATCTCTTGGACTGGCCTTGTGGCCACTGTTGCTTGTGCTCAGAGTGTGTGGTGACGTTGTGATCCACCCTGAGCTTTGTTTTCTTTTGGACTGGTCTTGTGACCGTACTCTTTTTGTTTTTGCTAGACACCCCTCACTTAGGCTATGGGGGTGTGTCAAATGTTGTAGCCTGTAGTGAGGTTTGTCTTAGGGGGTACAGAAGTTAGGGTTTGTCATATGTACCCCAACCAACATCAATGCAACACTCATTCCTCATTTTGACAAAATCGCGTATAATTTCGTCTGAAAGAGACAAACTGGCCCACTTGGCCAGTGGAGCAGCGATGTGTTGCCTGTGTGATCACGTGTAATGATATTTGCGTGTGGGCGCCGGGGTTAGTTTTGGATTTTTCCTGCCAGCGCACTTCGCATCTGACTCAGTTGCTGCCACGCATCTGTCAGGTAGCTGTTGTCGGCGCCGCTGCCACGTTTCCCCCTCCCTCGCTGGCAGAGTGCAAGGACAGTCGGTGTACAGCAAACAAGGCATGCATGGGCTGCCATCGCATTTCGTGAGACCCTCGTCAGAGAGGTGCGGTTCGTGACAAGACGGTCCTTCCTTACCACCCATCCTTTCTTCTCCAAGCCTTTCTTTTACCATCCTTGCTCTCTCTCCGTTTCAATTCGTCCCGTCCCGTCATGTGTCTCACCACACAATACCATGCTAGACGAACATGGCGCACCCGCCTCAACCGACAACGCTAAGCGTGATTCACCCGCGGTACCTGAGGCGCCCCTGGTATCCGCGTTAGATTTCTTAACGCGGAAAGCTCCCGCCGCGATTCCAGTAACCACAACTGCCGCAGTAGGGACTCTTCCGCCTATAATTCCTCCCCCCAACGTCATTTCGTCCTGCAACAACGAGCCTATTATCCCCTCGCCATCCACGTCAGATGCGGCAGAGACCTCGACCCAGCCTAGCACGGCTGAAGCTGAGTCGTCGCCCCCGCCCGTTTCGGCATCTGTGGCTACCACCGCACCTGTAATCTCTTTTTCTCGCGTTAGAGTTGGGAACGGCAATTTCAAACAGCGTGTTCTCAGTTTTGCCCGTCCCACTCCAGGTGTCGCCCCAGCTACCGTCCCCCGCTTCACACCTCGTCCAGGCCCATCAAAACCCGCCGCCGCCGACAAGGACGACAAGTACCCCCATGTCCTGACCGTCCAGCAGTGGCAGGAGAAGGCGAAGGAGAAATGGCTCAAGCACTTCCCGTGGCTCATCATCTCGCAGACCTCATGGGGTCAACCCTGTATGAGGTGCTCAATATGCATGGTGCACGCACGGTGACCCCAGCTACCAGTACGGCCGTGACGGGGAGGGGCTCGACATTCAACGACAGACGATGCGGAAGCACCAACATTCGATCAAGCATGAGGCGGCAGTGGACCGACAACAGCTTCGAGACGGCAAAAATGCGGCTCAGAAGACTATTGTCGACTTCGAAAACGGTGACGCGGATGCCAACCGTTTGGCAAAACTGTTGGCAACAGTTATTTTCATTTGCAGAAGTGACTCACCCATTGTGCTGTTTGTGTCGCTGGTCCAGTTCATGGCAGAAATGGGCACGCCGGACATGCCCCTAAAGGATTCCGGCACATACTACAGCGAGTAAGTGTTGGTATGCTTTTGGGGGACCCGCTTGTTAAAACCCGCTTGTTTCTAAGATGGTTTTTTCCTGATCGTTGCAGGTACGGGTTCGCGCAGTTGGTCGAGGTACTCGTCGTCTACCTTCGTGCTCAACAGATGAAGCACATCCGGGAGAGTCCTTACCTGGGCATTCAGTTGGACGAGAGCACGGACCGTCGACGAGGAAAACACCTAATCGTCTATCTGTCATTCCTCCGCAACAACACGCCAGTCACTGAATTCTTCGCGCACCTAACAGTTGAGCAGTGCGATGCTGGTTCCCTGCAGGCAGTCCTTCTAACCCACTTAGAAGGAACCGGCCTCGAACTTGAACGCGTCAGTGGCATCAGCACCGACGGTGCAAGCGTCATGGTCGGTTCTCAGACGGGCCTGGTGGCGCGCCTTCGAACACGGATTCCACACCTTGCCGGGTTCCATTGCGTCGCGCACAGGTGTGTAACCCGACATGTGTTATTTTTTCCATGCGTTGCCTGTTTATCTAACTTATCGTTTTTCCCGTGTTGTGTCAGGGAAGCTTTGGCGGCAAAGGATGCCGCCAAGGCCTACCCCGACCTTGACCTCGTCGACAGAGTCGTCCGCTCATTGGCGGAGCAGCTTGGACGGTCGGGCAACTTCCACCTACGCTTCAAAGAGCTGCAGGAGGTGCTCTGACAAACAAACCTGGAGCTGCAGGGCATCCACAGCGTCAGGTGGCTTTCACGTGGTCTGGCAGTTCAACGTCTGGCGGACAACCTTCCAGCAGCTGTCATTCTGCTGTACGAGAACGACCCGAAGGCCTACCTCCTTGTAACCAGCTTTAAATTCCACTTCCTGCTGTTTTTCTTGGCTGATGTGTTGAAGGAACTCGACACACTCAACCTCAAGTTCCAGCGACGGCAGGTACGTTGTTACACTCGTTGCTTTGACGGGTTTTGTATTATGATGTTGAATCTAATTTCTGTGACACTGACCCGTGCAAGCCTTTCCACGGCCTTTCATGTGTGTGGCAGGTTGATGTGACGCACGTGCTGCAGATGGTAGATAACACCAGGCTCACCCTCCGCAACCGTTACCTGAGTGACGCGGACGACTTCGAAGAGGGGGGCAACGAGCTGAGCGCCTTTTTGGCGAAGCATGCGTCGTCGGAGAAGAGGGTGGTGAAGGTGACGGGCACCGACTCGACTGGGGCGCCAACCACTCATGAGTACACCCTCCACGAGGAGAAGATTAAAGGTCAGAAATCTGGCGAGGGCTTGGACGACTGTATCACACTGGCGAAGGGGTACGTGAAGGAGCTGCTGAAGCGTTTGGAGAGCCGGATGAAGGATTTGGGCTCTCTCGAGGGCGCCAAGCTGTTCACGCAGGGGGCGTACCCGAAATCTCACTCGAAGCGGCAGCGGCGGTTCTTGCAGTGGCTGGAGGCTCTCCGCAATCTGTTTAAGCGAAAACCGACCGACCCTGACACCCTGCCAGGTACGTCTTCGATGTCGGCAGTGCCTGATTGAGTCGAACATGTTGTTTGTGTCGCCTTATGCCTCGTTGATTTCTTTGAGCCTGGTGGCTTATGAACACCAGCGCGGTCTAACATTAAACTTCTTTCTGATTCGCACCCTGCCACCAGGAGTCAACTGGACGAGGGCACAGAAGGAGCTCAGCAGTTTCACCACCATCATGTCAACCCATCAGCAGGAGCTGAGCTTCCAGGACGGCCTGAAGCAGATGCTCAACTCCCCCGACTGGTGCACTGCCTACCCCAACCTGGTCCGCCTTTAGATGGCAGTCGCAGTGCTGCCCCTGAGCACCGTGGAGTGCGAGCGGGGCTTCTCCCGCCAGAACATCATCAAGAGCTGGCTACGCGGCAATCTTAACGACGCGAAGCTGGGCGACCTGATGACCGTCTCCATGCTGAAGTACGAACCTGACTGGCCCGCCCTTGTGGAGCTGTGGAGAGGCGCGAAGAGGAGGCGTCCAGCCAAGGATGTGGTGATGGTGCATGCGCAGAGGCCCGTGAAGCACACGAAGAAGACCCTTGCGATGCTGGCCGCGAAGCAGGCGGCAGCAACAGCAGTAGCAGCAGCAGATGCTGCTGCTCGTGAAGCAGCAGCTGCAGAAGAAGCAGCCAGGCTAGAGGAGGAGTTGGGCCCCTGGCAGAGACGGGCAGGCCACGGCAAAGTGCACATGTCTTCAGATTCAGAGCTAGACGGGGACGATGACGAAGATTATTCTCATGATAGCGATAGTGAATCCTAGTTCGTATTCTTTGTATGGTTATCTGTAGAAATAGTGTAGTCTGTGTGTAGAGTAGACTACATAGTTACATACGGTAAATGTCTGATTTCGTATAAATCTGTCTGTGCGGACAATCGAACTTAGAAATTCCGTCTGAGGCAAAGACCATCACGAATCCTCCATACGAGGGCCAGACGATTTTTTTTTTTTTGAAAAACGTCAGACGGGCCTAAAAGTTAGCAAGAGCCCTGGTGCTGACTGGCACTGTGAATGTACATACAAGTTGAGTGTCCACTGTACACTTAAAAACAAATAATGTACCGCAGTGATAGATGGGATACGGTAACCCATAGCCCCTGCTGGGCGATTCATGTGTTGCAGTAAGAGGTCATCATAAAGCTTGCGCCGTGTAACACAAGTGAGACATGGAATGGAATCTTTGCCACGTGGACCAGCAGCCTCGCTGTGTGTACCTGCACTCATGCCTTGCATGCCTGCAGCTACCATCATCTGCTTGCACTCATCTTCAACTCCACTGCACCCTCCTCCTCCCCTCCACCACCTTCCTCCCCAGTCCCATCCCCCCCTTCCATGTCGTTAATCCGCACCACCCCATCCCCTGCTGCTGCTCCCGGCGCATGCTTAGAACCACCACCCCACCCACCCATCCACCCACCCATCCATCTTCTCACTCGCCCTCCCACACCTGCCCGCCCGCCCTTCTCCTGTCCCTCTCCCGGCCCCTCACCACCCTCCCTTCTGCTACCCCCAGCCCCCGATCCCTCTCCCTGCTCCTCCTCCACCCCATACCCCTCACTCTCGCCCCCTTCCCTGCTCTCCACTCCCCTGCCCTCTGCTTCCCCTTCTCTTGTCCCTCCCACTGCTGCAGGTGGAGTGGGGACTGAGGAACCCGAGGAGGAACCAGAAGAGGAGGAATTAGAAGCGGAGGACGAGGAGGAGGCAGAAGTAGACCCGGTGGCCAATCCAGTGAGGACACGTGGCAGCCAGACGTCAGCAGCCAGGGCCTCCTCTAGCTGCTCCACGCGCTCCCTCAGCCGCCTCGCCTCCTCCTCCAGCTGCCTGTCCCCCTCGTGCAGCGCCTGCCACGCATGCCCAGTGTGCAGTGTGGGTGCCAGTGGGGGTGCCAGTATGTGTGCACATGAGAGAAAGGGAGAAGGCAAGGGAGAAGGTGAGAGGCGCGGAGCACCAAGAAGAGGCGCGGAGCACCAAGAAGAGGCGCGGAGCACCAAGAAGAGGCGCGGAGCACCAAGAAGAGGCGCGGAGCACCAAGAAGAGGCGCGGAGCACCAAGAAGAGGCGCGGAGCACCAAGAAGAGGCGCGGAGCACCAAGAAGAGGCGCGGAGCACCAAGAAGAGGCGCGGAGCACCAAGAAGAGGCTGAGGATGGAAGCAGAGAGCAGCCGTCAGTCCATCAGAGTCACAACGGCTCAACCTGCTGCCAGCTGAACCTGCTGCCATCAACCAGCAAGACAACCACAGCTCACCATCCCTGCATGCCAACACCGTGCATGCATGCCAGCATGTGCTTCAACTCAGATGCTCTCCACTCCTCTCCACGCCTCTCGACTCACCTCGCGCTCCTGCTTCAGCTTGGCCTCCTTGCGGGCATTCGACCGGGCGCTCCGAGCCGCCTCAATGAACACCACGCCCCCCGCCACCTGCACCCTCGCATGGACATGCCCGAATGTGCATGAATGAGCGAGCACGGGAGAGAAGGCACGTGCATGGGGAAAATATAGGTTCTCCTAGCCGCCTCCATGAACACCACGCCCCCCGCCACCTGCACCCTCCCCACCCGAGCCAGCATGTGCATATCCGAGTGCATGAATGAAACGAGCAGGGGGAGAAGGCACGTGCATGCAGAGGAATGAGGTGCTCCTGGCCGCCTCAATGAACACCACGCCCCCCGCCACCTACATCCACCCGCGCACGTGTAAGTGTGCAAGCATGTGCATATTCGTATGCATGAATGAGCATGCAGGGGGGAACAAGGCATGAATGAGTCCACTGACGGCAAAAACGATCCGCTCAACCCACTCATTCACAGTACCCCCGCCCTTCCACCCAACCCACGCAGCACCCTCTCGCCCCACACCCCCCTTTCTCACGACGAACACGATCAGCTCCCCCACCACCTCGCTGGCCGTGTTAACCGCCTTCTCCTCTCCTCGTTCAACCCAGTCAGCAAGCCTGTAACCCTTCCCCACCCCCCAACCCACTCACAGCCCACCACCACTTCGCTGGCTGTGCTGACATCCTTCTCCTCGTTCAGCCGCTTGATGTGCCCCGCTGGACCCTGTCCGCCCGTACACTCAACCCAGTCAACAACCCTATCAACCCCTCCCCACCACCCGCTCACACCGCCCTTCTTCCCCCCCCCCCCCTGCCTACTCACGGCGAACACGATGAGCTCCCCCACCACCTCGCTGGCCGTGCTAACGGCCTTCTCCTCGTTCAACCGCTTGATGTGCCCCGCGGGGGCCTGCCCGTACAGCCGCCGCTGCAGCCGCACCGTGAACCGGTGGTAGCCCTGGGGGCCATTGGTGGGGAGGGGGAAAAGGGGGGAAGGCGGTGTTGGGGACGAGGATGCGAGGCGCGCGCAATGCGAGTGGCGCCCCTGCGCGCACCCGCCTGCGCCCATCCGGGAGTGCGCACCCACCTGCGCCCATCCGCGAGTCCCTGCGCGCACCCACATGCGGTCAGTTGGCGATGGAACGGGATGGCATGGGACTTGGGGTAGCAATGCGCGCACCCTATGTGCGGAACCGCGCTCCCAAATGCGCGGAGGCTGTGCGCGCACCTTATGCGTCCCCCCCACACGCGGAGCCCCTGCGCGCGCACGCACCTGCGCCCAGTTGGCGATGGAGGCGCGGAACTTGGGGTGGCTGGCGGCGCGGCGCTTGATGGCCTTGGCGAGCGGCTTGCTGAGCGTCTTCAGCACCAGATCGCCCAGCTTGCCCAGGGGGAGCGCCATGCGCGCGCGGACTCTCGCCTACTACTAGCTGGTGTTCTGTTTCCACACTGTCTTTCCTACTTGCGTAAGCGTAGATCCTAGACACTGCTGCTCCCTGGAGAATGTCAGAGGAGCGGCTTGCTCACTGGCCGATGTCAGCGCAGCGGCTTGCTAAGCGTCTTCAGCACCAGATCGCCCAGCTTGCCCAGGGGTAGCGCCATGCGCGCGCGCGCGCGGAGTGGGAAACTATTGAATGAATATAATTAGTATAACGAGTTGATGATGTGGAAGAATATTAGAGGAATGTGGAATAGCGGAGGTATTACGAAGGGTTATCAAGTGGTGCTGGAGGGTCAGGGAGCTATCGTGCCACACGTCAGCAAGGCGTGAGGGTGACAGATGCCGGCGTCAGCGGCCTACTAGATAAGAAATAGCGCTGTGGGCTGATCGACGTGGGCTGATCGATCGACGTGGGCTGATCGATCGACGTGGGCTGATCGATCGACGTGGGCTGATCGATCGACGTGGGCTGATCGATCGACGTGGGCTGATCGATCGACGTGGGCTGATCGATCGACGTGGGCTGATCGATCGACGTGGGCTGATCGATCGACGTGGGCTGATCGATCGACGTGGGCTGATTTAGGGACTTCTCACAGCCAGTGAGCGAAGGTGCGACCTTGGAACCGGATTAGCGACCGCGACAGTGGATAGCATGACTCGGCGCGCAGGAGGGCCGTAGACGGCCGATGGGATGAGACATTTTCCTTCTCGCCTCTCCTTTCCCAAGAAACAGCCGCAGTGTCGCGTTCTGGAGGTGTTGGACTGGGTTTGCGCCGGAAGTCAGGGGTCCAGCGCGATGTATTGCGGTACCACTATCACTAACAGCGTCTCGAGTTCTCCGAATCGCGGTAAGTGGTGAAAGAATAAGTTAGTCGGTCAGTCACTGGTGTCAGTAGTCAGTTCTAGCTTTTAGCTGTACAGAAGAGCGATAAGCACGAGTTCGAATTATCTACAGGCATTGCGCGACCGGCAGGGCATCAGCCATATACAGAATTAGATCCGTAATTCACGGGTGATGGTGATATGTTACACTGTGCACTGACTTCCTCAGACCCGAGGAGACTTTGTCAGAGATGCGTGATGGCATGGCATGGATAGGAGAGGGATGAGTGGGGCATGGAGCAAGACGCTAGAGGCTGGGATTGGCGGTGCTCGTGAGGTGTGACACAAGCAGGTGACTTGTAGACTCTCCTGTAAGAACCACATGTAACTAATTGGCTAAACATAATTTCATTAATAGCAGGTGCCAGTAACATTTTAAGAGGCATCACTGTCAGGAAGCTTGCCACAATCGAAGAGCGCATGGTCCAGGAAATGCGAGGGCGAGAAGAGATGCGGCAGCACCACTTTATCCCGCGCAAAGCACACCACCTCCTGGGGCAACTGGAGCAACCACCCTATGCCAAACGACCGCACTGTCAACTGTGCCACCCTCCTCCCTCTCAGCCTCTCATACTCCCTCAATGCCCCACACACCTTCTCACTCTCCACCCTCCTCCTCCGCACACTCGCTCCCTCCTCCCCTCCCTCCACTCCACCGCTCCCTTTCCGGTCCTCCCCATCTGGTACAGAAGCTTCCCATAGGCACCGAGCCAAGATCACAGCATCTTCCAAAGCTGTGCATGCACCTTGGCCAAGGTTCGGAGTCATGGGGTGGGCGGCATCGCCGGCCAGAGTGACGGCGCCTCGTCCCCATGTGCCCAGAGGGGGCGGCATCGTCCAGCGGTCTGTGATGGTGCCGACTACAATGCTGGTGGCCGGCGTGGCGTGAATAAGACGCTCGATGCCGCCCTGCCAGCCTTGCACGTAGGAGAGAGCCTCCTCCTTGGCTGCTGCTGATCCTGGTGGGGGAAGCGCAAATGGGGAAGCGCGAATGGGGTGGGGGGAAGGGGAAGCGGATGGGGGAGAAGGGGGAATGAGAGGGAGAATGGCCTAAGTCAAGCAAGTAGAGAAAATGGCGATGGGCATGAGAGAACTGATGCACGAGGTACAAAGCTGAAAGGGATTTCACAAGTGCCAGTTTGGAGCGGGCGCAGGGCGTATGGCACAGGGCACAGGACGCAAGGCGTGCCAACTGGAGAGGCACAGGGCAGGGAGCAGAGGAAGCAAGAAGTTGATTTACCTCTGGGCGGCAAAGGCTCAGGTGGAGCATTGTAGCAGGTGAACCAGTAGACCTGCGTGGGTGTGAGAGGGTACATGCCCACTCGCACCCCCCTCCCCCACACCATTCCCACTCTCCCTCTCCCCTCCACACTCCCTCCCACGTCGCCACCCTCCGCATCACCCCCACCGCCGGCAGCAACGGCAAAATCTGCAGATTCCGCTGGATCTAGTTCCGCCACCCCTCGTGCCGCCCGGTATCCAGCGTAGTTGGTGGGCGGCAGCCCGAGCCAAGAGGCGACCCCTGATGCGTTCCCGTCACACCCTATGAGAGCCTTGGCTTCGATAGTAGCACCGTTGGATAGAGTCACAGTCACCGCGGAGGCAGTGGTGGTGGTGGTGGGTTCTGGCATGTGGGTGATTGTGGTGGCGAATCGGATGGTGCCAGGTGGCAGTTGGGAGGCCATGCAGGAGAGCAGGTGGGCGCGGGTGACCCCCCTCACCTCGTGATCAGGTCTGCATGACCTCCATATCAATGCGTCATATGCCATCCATGCCATGCCATCCATGCCCATGCCATGGCAACCCCATGTCACGCCACCCCCCATGCCACGCCATCACATCAACCAGTGAGATGATCCAGCATGAAACAACATCCCCGATGCACCACCATTCATCACAGGGGCAACGAGAGATGGAGGAAGAGCAGATTGTGAGAGAGAAAGGGGGGCAGGATGCGGCACACAACAGCGCCAGTTTTTGATTTCCGAATATCAGGAAGCAGGCAGCAGAGGAGAGAGAAGGGAGTGCACGAGAACACAGTGTATGCGCAGAGCATGGTGCATTAGCGGTGTATGGTATGAGAGAAGAGCAAGGGGACGCGCACCCACCCCACATTGCAGTCAGCGAAGTCAAAGGAGCGCAGCGCCGTGCCGTCCGCTGCTGCAATGTCAATGCTGATGGGGATGGCAGTGACGTGGCAGTGACGTGGGAAGCAGTATCAAGAAGCATGCGAGTTCGAGAGGGAATCATGAACGATGCTTGAAAAACGACGGGAACAGACGACTTGGTATGAGCACATGGGATGCATGGTAAAATGGCTTTCAGATACCCACCTCTCTCCAGCCCCCCTCCTCTCCCTCCCCACTTCCCCACTCCTCTTTCACCCCGCGCTGCCCTTCCCCCCAGCTCCTCGCATACTCGCGCGCCTCTCACCCCTCCAGCCCGCCCGCGCCCTCTCACCCTTCCAGCCGCACGTAGTCTGTTCGCAGCAGCGCGGCCACCCCCAGCGCGTCCAAAGCGCGCCAAGCGTTGCCCCACAGGCTCAGCGCCGTTCCTGATTGGCCGAGACCCGGCGCGCGCTCCACCACTGCCACGTCAATGCCCACGCTGGCGCGCGCGGGGGAAGGGTGGGGCCGGGCGGGGAGGGTGAAAGGGGGAAGCGGGAGGGGGAAACGAGAGGAGAGAATGGGCAATAAGGAAAGATCGGGGAAAGAGCTGGTGGCGCAGATGCGGGGAGCCGCGCGCTGGAGCACTGCCACGCGCGCTTGGCGTGCTGTTTGGGGGGAATCACGTAGAATGCTGGGAAGGGAGGGATGGAGGTGGGTTTGCGGAAGAGAGAAGAGGGGTGTGACTGTACCGGTGTAAAGCGAGAGCCGTGGCTAATCCCGCGACGCCAGCGCCCGCTATAAGCACATCGAAGCTCTCCCTAGCAGCCGAGTCGGACTGCTGTGCTGTCTGCGCGCCGCGCTCCGCTGCTGCGCGCACGCGGAGCGTTGAGTGTCGATTTCGGGAGCTGTGAAGCGCAATTCGCGGCGGTAATCGGTTTGAATTAACATGACGAGATGCACGGCGTGAGGCGCAGCGAGAGGAATGGCGAGAGGAGGTGCGAGCGATTTGATGCGGGAAGGAAGGAGACGGGCCGATTAAAGCGACCGGCCTCAGCGAGAGAGGCAAGTTGCTGTGCTGACGTGGCGCTTTAATAACATTAGTTTGCGAATCGTCCCGCAAGAGGCGGCAGGGTTGACGAATCGCGTAGTGGACGGGTGATAGCGACGCCATCGTTGCAGCTCATACCAGTAAATTTCCTACTTGCCTGCCACTATGTATAGAATGGTGGAGTATTCTCATCTTGGTCGAAACATCTGAGATCGAATTCGTCGCGAACCACACACGTGCCTCCCCGAATTCGGCAATTTCGCCACATCGCCACAGCAACCATCCACCAACCAACTTCGATTTTGCCGTGACCACACACACCCACATACCTCTATCTCCCTCCCAGGTACCTCGTCAGGGCATCTGCCAGCCATAGCAGTCATTCTCAAGGGACGTAATCTGAGCCACAGGAATAACGTTCCCATGAGTGCAATGGGAGCTGTGTCTTCTCTATTACCTCCGTGCTCGTCGACTGCTCCGCAGCTGGGCCGTCGCGCCTGAAATGAGGAAGAGCTTCATGCTGTGCGGCGCTTCGTTCCAAATGTGCTATCCCCCGCGCCTCGGGCGAGGCGGACAATGCTGTGGGCATCGTGTGTGTCGCTTAGGCGTCAGCACCGTCTCATACGCTCGCTCTTAGGCCGATCAGCGGTAATTTACATCACGAGCTCGATTTCATGTTGACTTTTGAGTCCGGCTTAAAAGTCACCTCCTTTATACACTCGCTCTTAGGCGATCAGCAATAGATTCCGACTTCGCGCGCCTCTTTCCGTTCGCTAGTTCTGGACACGCTGTTCTCCTGCTGCTGACGCCTTACGCACCCGACTAAAGACTGCTCTCCACAGTCGACAACGTCAATCCGAGCGCTTTCTTGAGAGGAATTGAATCTCCGCGACGGCGTCACAGCGCGCCGCCTGCTCTCGTCAGCTTGATCTCGCGTCTGCTCACCGATTCGTAAAGTCCGGCGTCGTCGCTGATCACTTGATAAAAGTTGAGTTTTGAGGCGTCTCAAAGATCACTTCTTTGACATCTCGGGAATCAAACTCGTGTCTTTTCACCGGTTCGCACCTCGCGGCGCGCGCGCGATCTCATGTGGCCGTGGGGTAGGCAGCGGCGCGGGGGGGGTTACGAGAGCGTGCAGCACGAAGACCCCTCGCCCACCTTCCGCTCGCGCTACCTCCAGCAGCGCGCGCGCAAGTCCGCGCGCGCGCCGGGCGCTGGCGGCGTGCTCCGGTGCTGCTCGTGCGCGACGGTTGTGCTTGTAACGGTGATCGGCGCGGCGCTGCTGCTGTGGCTGCTCGGTGTGAACCCGTTCAGGTGCGTGCGACGAAATGGAGATGAATGCGACGCAGCTATGAATCGCGCATGTGTCGCACGCCCCTCATACATACCCCTCAAGTCGCTCTGGTACTCCTCCTGCCCCTTTCTCCTTTCCGCTCTGTAACTTTCCCGCCATCGTCCCTCCCCCAATATCTTCCCTTGCGCCCTTTTCCCGTTTCCCCTCCCCCAATTCTTTTCCCAACTCCGCCAGCCATGCAAGCACCCTGGTGTCCCGCATCAAAGGCGCGCAAGGGGCGGGGGGCGCGCAAGGGGAAGGCGGAGAGGGGCTGACGGCGGAGGGGGAGTGGAACAGCGGCGGAGCGAAGGCGGGGGACTGGATGGGGGAGGGGGGGGAGGGTGGCGCAGGGCAGCAGAAATGGGGCGGGTGGGGAGCAGCGGGGGATGAGAAACAGCCGGGTCAGACGCCGCCTGCACCAGATCTACCCGGATTCTTGAATACCCGCCCCATTCCCGACCCTGATTTCCCCACGGACGAAAGTGGGTCGGAAGGCAGAGGTTCAGGGTTGACGCATGGGGAGGAGGGGGACGGCGAGGGGGAGGGTGGTGGGGCGTATGACACAGAGACAGGAGCGCGGAAGGGGAAAGGGAAAGGGAAGGGGAAGGGGAAGGGGAAGAGGAAACCGAGGTATGGGGGAGGTCCGGATGATTGGGATGAGGTGCATGAACAGCTGATCACAGAAGCAGATACCATTGCAGGGGAGGCTAGGCTGGCTGCTAATGAGGCTGAAATGGCTGCTGCTACTGTGGGGGAGGGCGGTGGGGAGAAGGCCGGGGGGAGGGGGAAGGTGGGGGGGCTGTCGCGGAGGCGGTATGAGCCTGGGGAGGAGGAGGATGGGGTGGAGTTGAGGGGGGCAGGGGGGAAGTTGAATCGGAGGAAGAAGGAAGGGAAGCGCGCGGGGGAGGGGGTTGGGTGGGGGAAGAAGAAGAGGAAGAGGAGAGAGGAGGATTATGAGGAGGAGGGGAGGGACGATGGTGAGTTGGTTATGGTTGACAGTCGTCCCCTGTCTGCTCTGCTCTGCTCTGCTCCCATTGCACTTCCCTTCTGCCCGGTACCTCTGTCTTCTTCTCGGATTCCTCGTCACCGGTCGCACTTCAGTCATTTCATCCTCTCTCCTTCCCCCATGCGCCCTGGCCATCCCTTTCCTCCAAGTTCTTTTCCCGCTCGCCCTCATTCCCCCTCCCCCCTCTCCCTTTCCACCTCCTCCTCCTCGCGCTCTCCTCTGTGTGTTCATCCATCCCCCCTGTGGGCTCGCAGAGGACGAGGAGGAGGATGGGGTGGACACGGAGGCGAGGGAGGAGGAGGAGGAGGAGCGGGAGGAGGAGGCCGAGATGGAAACGGACGGCCCAGATGACTCTGACGACGAGGATGACACCAGCAACACCTCCCGCCGGGGAGGGGGAAGCATGCGGGGGCGCAGCAGCGTGCTGGCGCGGCACATCCCCGGCACGGGCGTGCGGGGGGAGGAGCAGGTGGGGCGCGTGCGGCGGCAGCTGGCGTGTTTGGCAGGGAGGGAGGGCGGGCGGTGGGCGCTCAACAGCACTCCCAGGTGGCTCCCGTGGGACCTCACAGCCTCGCGCCACCACCACTCGTCTCGCCACCCCAACCACCGCTCCTGCGATCAACTCTGGGCCAAAGAGTGAGTGAGTGGGGCAGCTGGCATGCCCAGCAGGGAGGGCGGGCGGTGGGCACTCAACAGCACTCCCAGGTGGCTGCCGTGGGACCTCCCAGCTGTGGGCCAAAGAGTGAGTGGGGCAGTGATCCTGCTTCCTTCCACGCTCCTTGTTTTTCCCTCCTCCTCCTCCTCCTCCTCCTCCTCCTCCTCCTCCTCCTCCTCCTCCTCCTCCTCCTCCTCTTCCTCCTCCTCCTCCTCCTCCTCCTCCTCCTCCTCCTCCTCCTCCTCCTCCTCCTCCTCCTCCTCCTCCTCCTCCTGCTGCTCCTCCTCCTCCTCCTCCCTTCCCAAGCTAGCCCTCCACTCACTACCCTGCCCCTACACCACTTGTGCTCCACACCCTCACTCACCACCACACACCACCCACCCGTATGGAGCAGGGCAGGCAGGGTGTACGGGGCTGCAGTGGGAGGGGCAGGGTGTACGGGGCTGCAGTGGGAGGGGCAGGGTGTACGGGGCTGCAGTGGGAGGGGCAGGGTGTACGGGGCTGCAGTGGGAGGGCGAGGCAGAGCAGTGGCAAGTGTGGCAGCAGGGCAGTGCCTATATCCAAGCGGCTTTTGTGTCGACTCAAAAGTCAGCGGGGCAGCGCCTATATTTCGAGGCGCCTTAATAATCCAACATCTTATCCCTTTCTGCCCTAACCCATCCCCACTCACCCGCCTGTACGGAGCAGGGAGGGCGGGGTGTACGGAGCAGCAGCAGAGAAGGCTCGGCGGCGGGGGGAAGCAACGCGGTGGCGGGTGAGGCGGGCGGCCCTCTACGAGTGGCAGTCGGGGGACGCCTCGTGCCCTCTGCTGCCCTTCCAACGCACTGCGTTCTGCCGGGCCGTGCGGGGGAGGAACTTGGTGGTGGTGGGGGATGCAGGGGCGCTGGATTTACACGATGCGCTGCTGAATCATCTTGTGACTGCCCACACCCGCCGCATTGCTGAGCCACTGGGAGACGCCTGGTGGGTGCTGAGTGGGGGATGGGGGATGGGGGATGGGGGATGGGGGAAGGAGGGTGGTGGTGGGGGGTGCGGGTGCATGCCTGCATGATGCGCTGCTGAATCATCTTGTCACTGCCCACACCGGCTGCATTGCTGAACCCCTTGGGGATGCCTGGTGGGTGCCGGGTGGTGGGCAATGGGTGGTGGTGGTAGGTGCTGGGTGCTGGGTGCTGAGTGCTGGTGATTGGTGTTTGCTGGGTGATGCCTAGTGGTGGGTGGGTGGTGGTAGGTGCTTGCGTCGCATATGGCAACGTGGTGGTGGGGGGGGACGCGGCGGGATGCAACACGATGCGCTGCTCATCCACCTTGTGACGGCCCACACCCGCCGCATTGCTGAGCCTCTTGGGGATGCCTGGTGGGTGCCGCTTGGGGACGGAGGATGGGTGATGGGTGGGGTGAGGGAGGGGTGGGTGGTGGGTGATTGCTTGTGAATGACCGACTTTTTGTGTCTGCCACTGCCATTTGTGATTCATGTGCGTTACCCCCATGTGTCCCCTCTTTCTCCCTCTGTCCCAGGGCCAATGCCACAGAGGGCGCATGCTACGAGGCAGGCCACCCCCTCTGCACAGACGTGCGCCTCTCCACCTCCTCTCCCTCCTCCACCTCTTCCTCCGCCCGCTCCTCCCGCCTCCCCTCCTCCCACTCCCTCTCGCGCACTCGCTCCCGCACCTCCTCTTACACCGGCGGCCACAGCACCACAAGCAGGAGAAGCAAGCAGGGGGGCATGAGCACCCAGCGGCAACGACAGCAGCGGGAGGCGAGGGAGGAGGAGGAGGACGACGAGGAAAGATTCAGCCAGCATGACCGGGAGGGGGTGGTGGAGGAGGAGGAAGAGGTGGCGGAGGGGAGAGTGGGCAGGCAGCTGCTGCGGTATGGGGGAGGGCCGGAGGAGAGCGAAGTAGGGGAGCTGAGCAGAGGGGGGTTGGGGGAGGCGGAGGAGGAGGAGGAGGGCAGTGCGGGGTCAGCGGGCTTCAACATGCGCGTGGTGCTCAACCCCTTCCTGTCCCCGGACACGGGGCGAGTGTCAGCTGTGAACAACCGCTGGGTGAAGAAGCTGCGGCGCTGGCGCACTGGGATCCTCGTGCTCTCCCGCACCGCGCGATACAAGAGCAGTGAGTCGCCGCTTGTATGGTGTTTATAAGGTCTTTGTGCTTTGACTTGCGCATTGGCACGCACTGACACCTTGGTTCTCTCCCGCACCGCGCGATACAAGAGCAGTGAGTCCGCAGCAGTGCCTGTCGGTAACACTGTGAGTGATCCGAGACCGGACATTGCATGTGCTCTGTCATGCTGGGTGTGCCCCTTCCCATGCCCCCCTCCATCTCCCCCCTTCCTTCAGGGCACACGCTTCTAAGGGAGCTGCGAGCCACGGACGGTCAAGACAGAGAGGCGGCGGCACCCCAATCTGCTCATCATCTGGCGCAACTCGCCCGCGCCGCACGACGACCGCGCCGCCCACTGCGCATGTACACTGCCCTTCTCTCCCCCTTCTCCCCCCTTTCTCCCCCCTGCCCCAACCAGAGCGCACGCTACTAAGGGAGCTGCGGGCCACACTGAAAGCGGTGAGGCAGAGGCATCCCAACCTGCTCATCATCTGGCGCAACTCCCCAGCGCCGCATGATGACTGCGACGACGCCACGCTGCCCCTCCGCCGCCGCCCCCTCGCCTCCTCGTCGCGGCACCGCGAGATGAACGAGATCGTCAAGCCGCTGCTCGAGGTGAGGCTGGGATTGATGGAGGTGACGTGGCATGCAGGACGTGAAGCTATGACTATCCGCTTTTGAGGTGCCTCAAAATTCAAAGGCCCCTCGCCGCCGCCCCCTCGCCTCCTCGTCCCGGCATCGCGAGATGAACGTCAAGAACGGATGGCTTTCCTACTGCAGTAGCGCTGGCAGCAGGAAGGGACATGGATGCCACCACGTCTCTTCTGAATATCACCCATCCTCCCCTTCCCTGCATCCCTGCCTCCCTCCCCCTCCTCCTCCCCCCTCACACCCTTCTCCCCTCTTCCCATCTGCGCAAGCAGGAGTATGGAGTGGTGTAAATGGATGTGGATGCAGCCACTTCTTCCCCTAACACCCATCCTACACCCCCTCCTCTCACTCCCCCCCCCCCCCCCCCCGGAACACACAGGAGTACGGAGTGGTCTACATGGATGTGGACGCGGCCACCTCTCTGCGCCCCGACGGGCACCATGTGAGGAGGGACGGGTCGGTGGACTGCGCGCGCTACTGCATGCCCGGCCCGCTCGACCAGTGGGTGCACCTGCTCTTCAACCACCTCCTCCTCCTCAACCGCCACTCCCCCCTGCCCTCCCGCTCCCCTCAATCCCACGCCGCTGCTGCTGCCTCTGCGACTCCGGCTGGTTTGGGTGGGGGAGCGAGTAGGGATGGTGTTGGGGAGAGGGGTGGGGAAGGGAGTGGGGAGGGGAGTGGAGAGACGGATGGAAGTGGGGGCTCTGCTGTGGGCGCAAAGGGGACGGACGAGGGTTTAGGGGGTAGAGGTGGGAGCACCTCTGAGAGTGGTGGTGCTGATACTGCTAGTGCTGCTGGTGCTGCTGATGGTGGTGATGGTAGTGGTGAGAGAGGGGTAGTTGGAGGGGACGGGATGGGCAGTGGGAGTGAAGGAAAGGAGAGTGTGGAGGGGAGAGGAGAGGAGGGCGAGGAGGGGAGGAAAGGGGAGGGCGAGGAGGGGAGGGGAGGAGAGGGCGAGGAGGCAAAAGAAGGAGAGCGTTCAGGAGTTGACGTGGCGGAGGCAGGAGATGGTGGAGGGAAGAGGGGTGGAGAGGGCGAGGGTGGGGAAGGCGAGGGGGAGAGGGTAGGAGGGAAGGGAGAGAGTGAGGAAGGTGGTGAGGTGAGAAGTAGGGGAGGCGAGACTGAGGGGGAAGAGAGTGGGTTGGGCGGGAAGAAGGTAGATGAGGGGACGTTTGAGAGGGGGGAGGAGGAGAGCAGAGGGGAGGAAGGTGGAGAAGAGGAGGGAGGTGAGGGAGGAGGAAAGAGTGGAGGGGACGAGGAGTTGGGGGGAAAGAAGGTAGATGAGGGGACGTTTGAGAGAGGGGAAGAGGAAGGTGAGAGTGAGGAGGAGGGGGAGAGTGAGGGAGGAGGAAAGAGCGGTGGGGATGTGGAGTTGGGAGGAGAGAAGGTGGATGAGGGGACGTTTGAAAGAAAGGAGGAAGGCGAGGGCGAGGGTGAGGGTGAAAGGGAGAGTGGGGGGAGAGGGGAGAGCAGAGGAGAAGACGAGCTTGGAGGGGCGAAGGTAGATGAAGGGACGTTTGAGAGGAAGGAGGAGGAGGGCGAGGAGGAGGGCGAAGGGGAGAAGGAAAGTGAAGGGGATTTGGGCGGAGGTAAGGTGGACGAGGGAACGTTTGAGAGAAAAGAGGGGGAGAGTGACGGAGAGGAGGGCACTAGGAAGGATGAGGAGGGGGCGCAGAAGAGGGGTGCGGAAGGGGATGGGGAGCTGGGAGGGGCACAGGTGGGAGACGGCACGTTTGAGAGGCAGGAGGAGGGCGGACAGGAGGGAGGAGAGGGAGAGGGCGGGGGAGAGAGCGATGGAGAAGGCAAGAAGGGGAGTGGGGAGCTGGGCGGAATGGAGGTGGGCGATGGGACATTTGAGCGGAGTGAGGAGGGGGAGGGAGGGGAAGAGTCTGGTGGAGGGGGTGAGGGGGTGGGAGGCGGTGGTGGTGATGCTGGCCGTGGGGGGAAGGGGCAGAGCGGAGGAGATGGAGAGGGGAATGAGACGAGGACCACAGATGAAGCAGCAGCAGCCGCAGCAGCAGCAGCAGAGAGTGAAGGTGGGCAGGAAGGGGGGGCGAGTGAGCAGACATAGATGCTATCTGTTACTGCCTGTAAGGTTGGGCGAGTTCATCAGTATCCATGGGTAGTGTGATGTGAAGGATGGGCGCTGTAAGGCGAAGGAAGATATATGCTTTCATGCCTGCGTTTCTCCCAACCCCCTCGCCTGGCTCCCCTCCTTCTGGGCGACACCTGTCACCAGAGCCCATGTTGGACCGGACTTCCGCCCGCCCGGCAGCATGGTGAGGGATGGCTGGTGGAAGGCAAACGTGCAAGTGACCATTCACACCCGTCTTGCCCTCCCGTGCCCTCCTTTGTCCTCCCTTCCCCTCCCTTCCCCTCCCTTCCCCTCCCTTCCCCTCTCTCCCCCTTCATTCCCAATCACCGCACGCCAGAGCCCATGATGGATCATATCCCCGGCAGGAGGGGCAGGGCGGCAGTGGAGGCAGTGCATCGAGCGCTGGACTGTGGGGTGAGGGAATAAAGAGTTCCTCCCATCCCTCACATGTCTTCCCTCCCTCTGCCCCGTCCTCCCACCAGAGCCCATGCTAGACCATATCCCCGGCAGCATGGTGAAGGGCAGGGCGGCAGTGGAGGCAGTGCATCGGGCGCTGGAGTGTGTGGTGAGGGACGGGCGGTGGAAGGCGAATGAGGAGATGCGAGTGCTGCCGTGGAACCGCAACCCCAACAGCGACCCGCAGCTGCCCAACTACGGCACGTGTGACGTGCTGCACGAGACCGAGTGAGTGCTCAGGGTAATGTATGTGGTGTTCAAAACAGTATGGGGTCGTCTCAGTAGGCTGTGTCTGGGGTGTTTCAAAACAGTATAGACCCGCAGCTGCCCAACTATGGCACGTGCGACATCCTGCACGAGACCGAGTGAGTGCTCTATATTTGGGTTGTCTTTGTATACTATGTCTATATTTGGGTTGTATTCGTATAATATGTCTATATTTGGGTTGTCTATATGGGGTGTTGAGTACACTATTACGTTGCGTTGCACCGGCCCAACTACGGCACATGTCGTGCATGAGACCGAGTGACTTGATTGGGTCCAATGTGAGTGTTTTGTCAACGACACAATGGCACGGGCTCAACGATACAGTGGCACGGGCCCAACGATAGAGTGGCACGGGCCCAACGATAGAGTGGCACGGGCCCAACTATAGCATGTGTGACGTTCGCCCAGAGCTACTCTTTGACTGGAATGAGGAACAACCCTCTCCTCTCTCTGTCTTCGTACCCCTCATAACCCCCCATCCCCACCCCTCCACTTCCCCACTGCATCCCCCACCTCGCCCCCTATCTTCTCCATGTACACTACCAGGGCGGGAGGGGTGATGGGCGATGTAGCAGACGAGATAGTGCGCACCAACGGCAGCCCGGCGGACTGGAAGGTGCGCCCAGAGCTGCTGTTCGACTGGAAGCCGGCCACGGGGAGGGGGTGCCCGCCGTACGTGCCGTTCACGCGCGAGAAGCTGTGCCGCCTGCTGGCCCGGCGCAACGTGGTCATGGTGGGCGACGGCACGCAGCTGCTGCTGCACGACGTGTTCCTCAACAACATGTACTCGCTGCAGGCGGTGGATCAGATGGGCAATTTGGAAGATGCCTGGTGAGTGCCTCCTAAATGGCTGCCGCTGCTGCAATGCGTGGTGACGGCTGCTGCAATGCGTGGTGAGTGCCCTTAGAGGAATCTCAAAGGTGTCCCCTCAGAGCCCCCTTCTTAGGTTCGCCCCCTTCTCAGGTTCGCCCCCTTCTTAGGTTCGCCCCCTTCTCAGGTTCGCCCCCTTCTCAGGTTCGCCCCCTTCTCAGGTTCGCCCCCTTCTCAGGTTCGCCCCCTTCTCAGGTTCGCCCCCTTCTCAGGTTCGCCCCCTTCTCAGGTTCGCCCCCTTCTCAGGTTCGCCCCCTTCTCAGGTTCGCCCCCTTCTCAGGTTCGCCCCCTTCTCAGGTTCCGCCCCTTCTCTGGTTCCCCCCCTTCTTGGGTTCGCCCCCTTCTCAGGTTCGCCCCCTTCTCAGGTTCGCCCCCTTCTCAGGTTCGCCCCCTTCTCAGGTTCGCCCCCTTCTCAGGTTCGCCCCCTTCTCAGGTTCGCCCCCTTCTCAGGTTCGCCCCCTTCTCAGGTTCGCCCCCTTCTCAGGTTCGCCCCCTTCTCAGGTTCGCCCCCTTCTCAGGTTCGCCCCCTTCTTAGGTTCGCCCCCTTCTTAGGTTCGCCCCCTTCTTAGGTTCACAACAACCTGCTGTCCTCCGACCTGCCAGGGGGCGGCAAGACCAACAAGCGGTGGATCAAGCGCCTGCAGCAGTGGAACAATCAACGTGCTGTGCGCCGACGCTGACACCCCTCCGTGCGCCCCACACCGCACCCACAGGGAGCGAGACGGCGAGCCAGACTGTGCGGACGAGGGCCACACCCTCTGCTCGGACGTCAATCCAAGCGCCACCTTCACCGTCCGAGTGGTGCACAACAACCTGCTGTCCGCGGACCTACCGGGCGGCGGCAAGTACAACAAGCGGTGGATCAAGCGCCTGCTGGCTTGGAACGCGTCCGTGGTGATCATCAACAAAGGAGCCGAGCTGCGGCCCAGTGCGTGTGCGTTACCCCATGTGCCCTCCCCATGTGCCCTCCCCATGTGCTTTCCATGCTCTCCCTATGCGCCACCCACTGCCATGAGTGCTCTGTCTGTTCGTCTGTTCAGCGTGCCATACACCTGTCAGTGGTGATCACTGATCATCAACAAAGGAGCCGAGCTGCGGCCCAGTGCGTGTGCGTTGCTCCTACGTGCCCCCGCTGCTCGTGTCGCCTCATGTGCCCCCCATGTGCTTTTTGACTGCTGCACGCACGAGTGATCTGTCTGTTCTGTCTGTTCAGCATGCCATGCAACCCCCACCTGTGTGTCAGTGGTGATTATCATCAAGTGCGCCGACCTACGCCCCAGTGCGCGTGCATTGCCTCATGTGCTCTTGTCCTGTGCTCTCAATGCACTTCCCCATCTGTCTGTCCCGTGCCCTGTCTCCCCTGCACTTGTTTTCCTCTATCCCCCCTCCCTTCTATCTGCCCCATCCGCGTACAGCCAAGCGATACGTGGAGACCCTAAGGGACACGATGCAGCTGCTGCGGCGGCTGGCTCCCGACGTGCTGGTGGTGTTCCGCAGCACGTGGCGCGGCCATGTGGACTGTGGGCGCGCTGAGGGGCCGCTCAAGGAAGTACCGGGCAAGGGCGGGACCACGCTGCCGTGGGACTTTGCCATTGAACAGAACGCTGCTGCTCGCGCCATCATGAAGGTGCGGTGAAGAGAGGTTCAGAGTGGTAGTGTGAATGTGCGGTGAGGAGAGGTTCAGAGTGGTGGTGTGAAGGTGCGGTGAAGGAAGGTTCAGAGTGGTGGTGTGAAGGTGCGGTGAGTGGGCGAGGCAGTGTGCCTGGACTTTAACACGCCCCTCTCTCCCGCTCTGCATCCACCTTCCCCTTTTCCCTTGCCCCTCTTTTCTTCCCACCCCCAGGAGTACGGAGGCGTGTATCTAGACATAGACACACTCCTGTCGATGCGCCCGGATGGCCATCTGTGCAAGCTGAGTGGAGCCATGGACTGCCACATGTAGTGCGTGCCCCTGGAATACACGCCCCTCCTCCCCACCCTGCATCCACCTTCCCCTTTTCCCTTGTGCCCTCTTTCCGCCCCTCACCATTTCAGGAGTATGGTGGGGTGTATCTAGACATAGACACGCCCCTGTCGATGCGCCCGGATGGCCATCTGCGCAAGCTGAGTGGAGCCATGGACTGCTACACGTACTGCGTGCCGGGGCCACTGGATATCTTCATGCGCTCGCTGCTCAACATGCTGCTCGTGCTCAAGCAACATGAATCCTTGTCGTGACACTTAAACAGTCACGAGACTTCAAAACCAGGAAATCCTCACGTGACTCTAGCAGCACGAGCCCCTATTGTGGCATGCTTGTTTACCATCGCTCGCTGCTCCACATGCTGCTCGTGCTCAAGCAACATGAATCCTTGTCGTGACGCTCTAGCAGCAGCACGACTCACGAGGCCTTATCATGACATGACTGCTCACCATCGCTCGCTGCTCAACATGCTGCTCCTGCTCAAGCAACACGAGTCCCTCTCGTGACAGGGCACCCAGCAGGCAGCGCGGGTATCATGCTTATCGTCGCTCGCATCTCAACCTGCTGTTCCTCTCATGACTCTCTGTAGCACCACGAGCCATGACTTCTTTGTGTGACACTCAAGAAGAGCCCTTACCTTATTGTGCCATGGTTCCTCCCCACTGAGACCCGCTGCTCTTGTCCGAACAGCACGAGTCCTTGTCATTGCACTCCTTAGCAGCAAGGGTGCACAGTGTGACACCCAGGCAGAACAGGGCGAGATGGAACATGTAAGGGAACAGAATTTGGTAAGAGAGCATGCTGGGATATCTCAGACCACCCATAGACACACAAGAAGTGCATAAGTACAAAAGTACAACAACACTACTTTGGAGACGCGGGGTATCGATCCCCGTACCTATCGCATGCAAAGCGATAGCTCTACCATGTGAGCTACACCCCCTTGACAGATTCATCCAAAAGTATATATATATCGCGTTAGTTACTTTTGCCTTTAGCCTCCATCGACCTTTATTCTCTGCGATAGTAGTCACGATGCCGCTTCTTCGCGCCCCAAGACCCTCACTCCTCCTCCTGTTCCTCCTCTCCCTCGTCGCCGCGTCCGCGATCGCAGCGTCGTCGCACGACGGGTGGGGCGACGCCGACGACGACGCAGACGACGACGAATTCGACGGCCACGATGCATCCGCCGCGCCCGGCGGCACGGGCGCGAGATCGAGCGCGGATCTCGCGCCGACTCCGCCCCCGCGGGGCGTGAGGCGGAAGGGCACTGCGATCCCGGCGGCGCTGGCGGTGGATCGAAGCTTCGTTCCCGGCGACAGCAACAGCTTCTTACCGGGGGGGCTTGTAATGATGCAAGGCGTCTTGCATGGCGATGACACCACTGTACGCTGCGCGCTTCGCTCCCCTTGCGCTCTCCCCTTGCGCCTCGCGCGGATCCACCTCTTCTCTGTCCTAATTGTCGCTCTTTTCACCCCGTCCGCCTCATTCATCCGCTCCGCTCCTGCTCCGCCCTTTCATCCGCTCCGGCCCTTCCATTTCCCCGTCCCCCCCTCTTCCGCCCCTTGCGCGCGCGTGGGCAGTGGGTGGACGCGACGGTGATCTGGCATCCGCTGACGGCGGGCGAGGCGGGCGCGCTCAAGGCGCTGGTGGCGGCGGACGGGGAGTACCGCGTGCGCCTTGCGCCCAACCCCTTCTCCGCCGCTCCCCCGCCCCAAGGGCACGTCATCGCATGGGGCCGCGCGGTAAGGCATGGGTCGCGCAGTGAGGCATGGAGCCACGAAGTGAGACATGGCGCCACGCAGTGAGGCATGGGGCCGCGCAGTGAGGCATGGGGCCGCGCAGTGAGGCATGGGGCCACGAAGTGAGACATGGCGCCACGCAGTGCGGCATGGGGCCGCGCAGTGAGGCATGGGGCCGCGCAGTGAGGCATGGGGCCGCGCAGTGAGGCATGGGGCCGCGCAGTGAGGCATGGGGCCGCGCAGTGAGGCATGGGGCCGTGCAGTGAGGCATGGGGCCGCGCAGTGAGGCATGGGGGAGCGCGAGGGGAGGCGATGGGGGCAGTGAGGCATGGAAAAGCGCTTGGGAGGAGGCTCATGGGTGGGGGAGAGGTTGAGGGATGTGGCTGGTGGAATTGTGACGGTGTGCTAACCCCCTTGCTTCACACTGCATAGCAAACCCGCCGTCTCAATCTGCACCCCACTCACCCACTCGCATCCCTCTCATTCCTTCCCTGTCACCCCTCTCATCCCCTCTCAGCGTTGTCTTGCGGCAGCTGGCTTTCGCGACTCGCTGCACCTCCTCTTTGTGAGTCCCAAGTGCACCTCCTCCGGGTTCAGAGGTTGCTCCCATGCCATTGCTCCCATGCCATTGCTCCTTGCCGCTCATCGCTACCCCTCGGCTCTCCTGTGCAATCTGCACTGCTCTAGTCGTTGCCATTCCCCCATGCTTCGCATTTAACCAACACTCTAAACCACAGTCTCCCCTCCTAACCTCCTCACGTTTCTATCACTCCTCATGGCATGTGTAGGATGCAGGTGGCAGGCTGATATCGGCCCACGTGAAAGCATGAGCTACCCAGCCTTTCACCTCTCCATTCACCTTTCACTCACATTCCCCATTCCCTGTGATCGATGCTACCCCCCCTTCATGGCATGTGTTGTGTAGGATGCGGGCGGCAGGCTGATATCGGCTCATGTGAAAGCACAAGCTGACTGCTCTCCAGCCGCCACTGCTGCTCTCGATGTCGATGTGAGAGTTTATCCAGCTGCTGCTGCTCTCCAGCCGCCACGTGTTGTCCTTTCCCCCTTTCGTCTAACTCCCTTGTCGGCTTCCCACTTGTCGTTTACCCTCTTGCGGACTCTAGAGTCCATGTTGATGTGCATCTATCCATCCCATCCCATCCCATCCCATCCCATCCCATCCCATCCCATCCCATCCTGCTCCCTGCCATGCACCACCCACCAGGCGGTGATGGCGGTGCCTCTCATCGTACTCAACTCTGACGTCACCATCCATGCAAGCACAATCGCCCAACGGTGCGCCCATGCCCATGCATCCATGTCCCCATGCTCCCACTCTTCCATCAGCATACGTCAGCATCCGTACCTGCACCATTGCGGATGGATCCATAGTACAGCATGCCTCTCAACGTGCAGTGCTCCACTTTAACGTCTCCATCCATCCATGCCAGCACCACTGCCTAACAGTGCACCCTTTGCCCCATGCATGCATGCATGCACGCATACCCCCACCGCTAAACACCTCCAACCTCATTCCTCTCTTTTGCTCTTCCCTCCCGGTCCCTTCCTCCTTTCCCTTCCTGCCCATCTGCAGCCTGCCAGTGCGCACGGCCCCAGTGGGGGGAGGCGCGGTGGGGGCGGGGGGAGCAGCAGGGGGAGGGGTGGGCGGAGAGGAGGACCCCATGGCTCCCCCAGTGCCGCCCAAGACGTTCTGGCAGAAATATGTGAGGCATTGGTTGGGGTAGGGTGCGGTGGCATGGGGTTGGCATGTGCGGCTACATGGGGTTGTCATGGGCGTGATTAGTACATGGCACTTGGCACGGTGCATGGCAAATTCATGCCCCTCTCTCTCCTGTCCCTCCCTCAACCCTCTCCCTTCCCCGTCTCGTTGCTTGCTGTTTCTTCAGGCTACATCGCACCTATACTCTCCCATCCCCCTTCCCTGCTTCCGTCTCTTCCCTTCTGATGCTCAGCATTACCACACCATTGCTGGGTCCTCACTCAAACACGCACTTTCTTCCTCCGCCCATCTCCCTCCATCACCAATGCGGCTTTTGAGTCGACTCCAAAGTCATGCGTCTTGCGGCGGATATCCTCATAGCCCTTGTTACGTAGTTCCGCCTGATGTGCCCTCTCTCTGCTTAGTGGCGCCTCCCACTCACACCGTAACCCCTGTCTCTTGTCCCCCATTCAATGTGCCCATATCGCCAGTGGGTGTTCATCATGGCGGGGGGCCTGCTCGTGCTAAACGTCCTCACGGCTCTCGCTGGCCGCTCACTCAACCATGCCTCTTCTGCTTCCCCTCAACCCCCCACTTCCACTCTGTAGCCATGACCACAGTGGGTGTTCATCATGGCGGGGGGGCTTGCTTGTCCTAAACGTCCTCACTGCCCTCGCTAGTGGCTCACTCAAAACTGCTGCTTCATGTCTCGTCTGCTCTCTCCCCCCCCTGTCCCTGACCCCAGTGGGTGTTCATCATGGCGGGGGGGCTTGCTTGTCCTAAACGTCCTCACTGCCCTCGCTGGCTACTCACCTTGCTATCAATATTCCGCACCCATCCCCCCTTCTCCTTATGCCCACAACCCCAGTGGGTGTTCATCATGGCGGGCGGTCTGCTCGTGCTCCCTGCCCTCGCTGGTGGCTCACCTTTACTTCCATCTCCCCCCACTTCCCCTCTGTACCCATAACCCCAGTGGGTGTTCATCATGGCGGGCGGTCTGCTCGTGCTCAACGTCTTCACGGCCCTCGCTGGCCCCGATGCTCCCCCCGCTGCTCAAGGGGGGGGTGCTGCTGGGGGAGGGGGAGGAGCACGGCGTGGGGGTGGGGGAGGGGGAGGGGGAGGAGGAGGGGGTGGTAGACGGGCGTAGGCCGGTATTGGGAGGAACAAACAAGGCCGAGGGGTGCGCAACTGCAGTTTTTGCTTAGAGGAGCCCCACCCCCACTCTCCCATGTTGGGAGCTATGCTGCTGAGGGATTCGTTCTCTTGGCTCTCAGGGTCAGGCCGTAGAGAGCACTAGTAGCTCGAGTGAGCGAAGAATAGTAGTCAAGGGGAGGCCTTTTGAGAGCCACGGGACAAAATGTAGAAGTGGTAGCACACTTGGGTACTTTCAAGGGTGCTTTACTGTGACTACCCTACCTGCCTGCATATTCGTCGAATGTATCTGCTTCAATCTGCATGTCCTAGCAAGAAATGTATCCTAGAATATCTAGCACATGTAAGCTATGAATTGAATCAGCACATCTGAAGTAGCACCTGTAAGTTATGATGTGCATCAGCATACTGTATCTAATTTGTGCTGCTTTAATGTCTCATCCTAGCATACCCTACATTCATTATATAAGCAATTATATAAGCAACTGTATAAGCAATTATGAAGTGCGCCAGGGTCTTGGGTCTTCTGGGCCCCTCTTGGCCACTAGGGGGGTTAACCCCTAGTGTTACACCCACACACCACGTTGAGGTGGGGACCCTTCGTGTGGGACCTGCATGGGAACAACGGGGGGTTAGTTAAACAAAAATAAAAACTGACAACAGCGGCTTGCCGAATACCCATCACCGTAGATGCCGTTCGCAGGCCGCAGCACGAGCAGCTTACTCTGCTCCCTCTGCTCTCTGCTTCATCTAAACCATCTGCTTCACCGTAATTAACGCTGTATTTAGCATCCCTGTAATTAGCGTGCCTTGAACGCAATGTCAGGAATAGAACTAGGAATGATGAATGAACTATGCAAGAGGTGAGTACAAGTAGGGGAAACCTAACCCTAAAGTGTTGTACTCACTAAGGAGTGACCCTACTGTAGCCTAGAGATACAATTGTAATCTGACACACCCCCATAAGCAAAGTAGGGGACAACAAACACAACAAGCGATCACAAGACCAGTCTGCAGAAGAGAACACATCTCAGGGTGGATCGCAAAGTCACCACGCATTCTAAGCACAAGCAAGTGGCCACAAGGCCAGTTCACATGCAGAGGTATATAATAGCAAGGCAGTACCGTACACTAATCACAACCTAGCAAGAGAAAACATGCAGGTATAAAGATAAATAGCAGTGTACAACAAGAGCAAGTCAAGCAGCCAACAGGTGAGGTAGAGTGGGCACAAGCCCGAGAGCAGTGCAGAAACGGTGATGATCTCCAGCCCCAAGGGCCTTGGTGAAGACATCAGCAGTGTTGGCCCGAGAGCCCACGTAAGCAAGGCGCAGCTGACCACGCTGCTGCAGCTCACGCGCAAGGAAGTAGCGAAGAGCAATGTGCTTCGTTCTGTGCTCCAGTCTCTGCTCGCAACACAAGGCAAGCATTGCCTTGTTGTCGACGTACAGAACTAGAGGAGAACGAGGCCGCTCCCCCAAGTCGGTCAGCAGGTAGGTCAGCCAGCGGAGCTCCTGTGCAGCCATGGCCCCAGCGTAGATCTCGGCCTCACAGCTGGAACCAAGCACAGAAGAAGAACGAGTGGACCTCCACGAGACAGAACCAGAGCCAAGACTGAAGGTGTAACCCTGTGACGAACGCTGAGTCGTCTGGTCGTCGGCCCAAGAAGCGTCAGAGTGTCCTGTGAGGACCACCGAACCCCGTCCTCCAAGCACGAGCCCCATGCCCGATGTGCTGCACAAGTAACGCAGTACCCTCTTTGCAGCATCAAAGTGCACCTTTCGGTGTCAACCAGGTGCCACGTAGCGAGCCAGGAGGCTGAGAGGGTACGCGAGGTCAGGTCGTGTGCACGTCATCAAGTACATGAGGCAACCCACAAGCTCTGGGTATGGACCACTCGGCTCTACGGACTCGTCCGAAGGTGGAGCTGAGAGCGAGTGGCCGGTAGACAGAGGAGTGGGCTGTGGCGAAGACCAAGTGAAGCGGAAGCGCTGAAGGACCTGGTGCACCATGTGTGACTGAGTGAGGGTGATGGTGCGCCGTGGTCTCTCCCGGGTGATCTACAAGCCAAGATAGCTCCGCAGTTCACCCAGGTCAGTGCAGGTGTGTCTCTCCTGCAGCTCTGCCTTCACTAGGGCCAGTGCCTCAGTGTCAGGAGTAGCAAAAACCAAGTCGTCGACGTACACGAGGATGTAGAACGGCGGCAGAGTAGTGTCGGTGCGTAGAAACAACGACGGGTCAGCAGTCAAAGGAGCAAACCCAAGAGCCGCAAGTGTCGTCCTCAGTGTGTCGTGCCACTCACGGGGCGCCTGACGCAGGCTGTACACTGGTCGCCGTAGGCTCCACTGGGTACCCTCAGGAAACGACACAGTGAAGCCCTGTGGACGGCGCAACCAGATGGCCTCGTGAAGGCTACCCTACAAGAAAGCTGACGAGAAGTCGAGGGAGTGCAGTTCGTAGTCACGCTGAGCTGCAACGCGTAGCAACACCCGAAGAGTGGTCATCTTCGGGGTGGGGGAGAAGGTCTGAAAGAAGTCGACCCCCTCACGCTGACTGAAGCCTCGAGCAATGTAACGTGCCTTGAAGGCAGGCGGAGAACCCGGCGACCGCTTCACCCTGAAAATCCACATGCCACTGACGATGTTCGCCCCAGGTGGGGGAACCTCGTCAACGTAGGTGCCTGTGGACTTCCAGGAAGCCATCTCTGCGTCCATGGCTGTCTGCCACTGAGAGGAGTACTCACCCGAAATCGCCTCCCTGTAGGAGCGCGGAGTCGGGATGTCAAGTGCATCCGGGTCTCCCTCAGGGGCAAGCAGCATGGTCGCGTGATGGGGTGAAGTGGCAGCAAGGCACTCCAGCTCCTCCTCTCTGTCCTCAAGAATAACACAGCCAAGGGCAGTACAGCCAAGAGCAGTCTCACCCCCGACGGACGGAGGACAGGCAGGGACAGGGTCAGAGACAAGACTCGCAAGGTAGTCTAGGCGGTACACAGCAGCAAAGTCAACAAGCTCAGCTCCTAGGACAGACGCAGCAGGAGACGAGAACGTAGGGTCCGTCACAGCTGTAGCAAGAAGGCGAGTATCAGTCGGACTGGACGCACGAGCAAGGTCAGACGGAGGGTCAGCAACGTCTGGCAGAGAGGACGCAGGAGGTAATGGTAGTACAACACGCTGAGGAACACAGGAAGGACGGAGTGTCATATCGTGGGTGCCGGGGACAGCCGGAGCACACGGACGACGAACACGAGGAACACGAGCACGGACTGCAGTTCTAGGCTCGGGCTCAAGGTCAAAGCTAGACCCACGCTCTCAATGCTCAGGGGTGGAAGCACGAGTCTCAGGCTCTCGACGCTCAGTCAGGGACTCTGACACCGCAGTGTAAGGAGCAGGAGGAGGCAGTGGGGAGTGTGGTAGCAGCGGTGGTTGTGACTGGTCCGCTGGCGGACACAGCAACGGAGGAGTAGTACCTGCCACAGGGAAGCCAGTAGCACCTGGCGGAAGACTGAGAAGGTGGCGAAGAGCACCAGTAGCTCCCGTACCTCCAGCACGAGCAGCTCCTCCAGTACCCCCAGCAACACCTCCAGTACCAGTAGCACCAACACCTCCAGCACCACGAGCTCCGACAGCGCCAACACCTCGAGCACCAGTAGTACCTCCAGCACCTCAAGTGCCTCCAGCTCCAGCTCCAGCGCCTCCAACACCAGTAGTACCTCCAGTACCTCCTGTGCCAGCAGCTCCAATAGCACCTCCTGCACCTCCAGCACCAGCAGTACCACCTGCTCCGGCAGCTCCAGCACCTCCAGTACGAGCACCTCCGGGACCAGTAGCTCCAGCACCTCCAGTACCTCCAGCTCCAACGCCTCCAGCACCAGCAGTATCAGTACCTCCAGGGTCAGCAGTTCCCGCAGCTCCAGCACCAGGAGCTCCAGCACCTCCAGTGCCACCAGCTCCAGTACCTCCAGCACCGGCAGCAGTTCCAGTACCCCCAGCACCAGCAGCTCCAGTACCTCCTGCACCAGCAGCACCTCTAGTACCTCCAGTAGTACCTCTAGCACCTCCAACACCAGTAGCACCTCCTGGACTAGTAGCTCCAGCACTAGCAGGACCGTACCCTCCATCACCAGGACTGCCTCGCAGAACGACCCACACACGAATCGCCTGCGGCGAGAGCGTCTCAAGTAGAGCAGGCTACGGTGGCTGTCCAGCTCCAGTACCTCCAGTAGTGGTAGCTCTAGCACCTCCAGCACCAGAAGCACCTCTAGTACCTCCAGCTCCAGCACCTCCAGCACCAGCAGTAGCTCTAGTACCTCTAGCACCAGTAGTACCTCTAGTACCTCCAGTAGGACCTCCAGGCCTAGTAGCTTCAGTACCTCCAGCTCCAGGACCTCCAGAAGGACTCGCAGCACCCCCAGAGTCAGCACCCGAAGTCTCAGCACCCCCAGAGTCAGCACCCAAAGTCTCAGTACCCTCAGTCCCAGCACCCTCAGGCTCAGCACCCTCAGTCCCAGCACCCTCAGTCTCAGCACCCTCAGTCTCAGCACCCTCAGACTCAGTACCCTCAGTCCCAGCACCCTCAGGCTCAGTACCCTCAGTCCCAGCACCCTCAGTCCCAGCACCCTCAGTCTCTGCTCCAGTGTCCACAGCAGCAGGCTGCGGAGGCGGCGAAGACGGCCGTGGCGGGAAACCCGGGGGGGTCGCCAAGCGAGGAGTGTGGCGAGTGGTCGCCGTGTCGTTGGCGACGGCGTCACCCCCCTCAGGTGAGTCAGAGGAGTCAGAAGAGATCTCAACTGGCTCATCCAAGGGGGGTGGGTCTACCTGGGACACACCTGAGGGAGCAGGACCCTGTGGGGGGAGGGGGTCTACCGGGAGGGGGACTGGTACCAGGAAGAGGGGTGCAAGGGGGACCGGGTGGGACGCGTGTGGGTGAAGTCGGTGGTAACAGACCGACTCGTCGAAGGTGACGTCCTGAGAGGACAGAACACGACGCGAGGCAGGG